GAGCAAGAGCAACGAGCACAAATTGTTACAAGAGCAAGACAAAGTTCCGACATATTCTCCATTCATTTCACAAAAAAATTCAAAGGTAAGAAAATGTACAATGTAATTTACAATTATTGTGAAAAATCTTATAAATCTAAACAAGCAGGCGGCTATGGATCATTTTGGAAGCGGCTATGGATCATTTTGGAAGCATTTGGAGACAAAACATCCAACAAAAATAGGAGTTGATCGGTCTCAAACACAAATTTCCGGGTACACTTCTAACCTTTCTTTATTTAAATATTCTGAAAAAATACAAAAAGAAGAATTAGCAAAAATGATTTCTATGGAATTTATCTTTTAGTTTGGTTGAAAAATTAGGTTTGAAAAAGTAGGTTTTAATAATTATTGTCAAAAAGCTTTAAATCCTTCTGCTAAAAGAGTACCAAGAAATACTGTAAAACGAACTATTATTTCTTTATCTAATAAAGGAAAAAAATAGTTAGAGCTTTTATTTTCTCAAATGAAAATTCGTGTTTCAATTTGTTGTGATGTTTGGAGTAGTGATCATTGGCAAATGCATTCTTGTATGGGTATTACATGTCATTGGATTGATGATGATTGAAAAATTCAAAAAAGAATTATTGGTTTTCAATATTTATAGAATAATTGTTTCAATTTTAGATGAATATAAGTTGACAAAAATTTTTTTTTCAATTTCATTTGATAATGCTTCTGCTAATAATAAATTAATTGTTGAACTTAAAAATATTTGTGAACCAAATATTGGTGGAAAATTTTTTCATACAAGATGTGCTTGCCATGTTTTAAATTTAGGTGTATAAGATGGTTTGAAAATTCTTGAATCTTTTATTTCTCCAATTAGAAAAGCTATTTCATATTTATGGGGACATCTCCAAGTAATGAAAAGTTGGGCTAAAAGTTGGGCTAAATTTTGTAAAGAAAATAATAAAAGACCAAAACGTTTTCCAAGGGATGTCCCAACTCGTTGGAATTCAACGTTGGAATTCAACATATGAATTATTAAACGAGTCTTTTTCATATAAAGAATTATTGTGCACTTTTGTTACTAACAATATTGAAGAAATTAATTTTTATATATAAAATTATTTGTACAAAAATTTTAGATATTTTAAAAATTTTTAATGATGCTACCTATAAATTTAGTGGGGTTTATTATCCCACATCTCATTTATTTTTACCTGTGTATTAATATTGTTAATGCACTCCAAGAATTTCAAAATGATGATTTATTAAAAGATTGTATTTTTTCAATGAAAAAAAAATGGTTATCTTATTTTAAAAATATAGCACCCCTTTATCTTGTTGCTATTATATTTGATCCTAGATGTAGAATGGATGTTTTATGTGATTATTTGACTATTTATTATGAAGTATTGAATCTTGATGTAGAAGATAATGTTAATATAAATGTAGTAGAAGATAATGTTAATATAAATGTAGTAATGCATGAAGTTAAACAAAATATTATGCAATTATATAATGAATTTGTTCAAGTTTCTAGTTCATCTACTGAACGTATATTACTACATTTCAACACAAAGGTAAGTGGTATTGATGTTGCTCAACAAGTTTTATTGCAAAGACAAAAAGGAACAAGGGAAATCCAGTTCTAATTTATGAATTTTGACAATATCTAACAACTTCTTTTTTGAGTTTGGTGATAATTATGTAGATGCAGATTTTTCAATTTAGTGGTGGGAGTCGTCACGCAAATAACTTTTCCAATTCTTTCTTTACTTGCAAAACAAATTTTAGCCAGCTCCGGTCTCCAACTGTTGCCGGTTGGAACCAAGCTTTTAGTTCAAGGAGGTAACATACTTGATTGAAACACGATCTCGTATGACACCCGGATTCATTTAGAAGCACAAACGTGCGTGGATTGATTGGACCAAAGCGAAACTAAGAGCCCAAGAAAATCTAAAAGAAAATGAAGATTTATTTGATTTATACGATGGCGTCCTTCAACTGGAACATCATACGGTCGTGCAAATAAGCGATTTAAGGTAAAAGGGTGAAATTGATATAAAGGTAAGTTAAGAACTACGTGGCTTTGATTCCTCTAAACCCCAAGAGGATACGTTAGGCAGCTTAATTTTTTTTAACAAAAAAAAAAAACATTAAGTTCAAGCCCATTTTTTTTTTAAATTTTTTGTTCAAACTTTTTTTAAAAAAAAAAATTTCAGTTCAAAAATTTTTTAAAAAAATTCATTTATGTTCACACTCAACCAATTTCAAGTCTTTTAAAAAAAATAAATTTTAATTGAATATTTTTTAATTTTTTTAGGTGGTATTTTTTAATTTTTTATTGTTCAAATAATTTTTTTTTTAAACCGATCTTTCAAAATTTAAAATTTTTTAGGTGTATTTTTTAATTTTTTTTATGTTCAAATTAATTTTTTTTTTAACCGGTCTTCATATTTTAAAATTTTTTTAACTGTATTTTTCAATTTTTTTATGTTCACATAAAATTTTTTTTAAACCGGTTATCCAAAATTTAAAATTTTAAAATTATGCCGATTTCGCCGGAAAACCGATCGGAACAGTCGATTGTAATCGATCGGAACGAAACCGGACCGAACCGGGACGGTTCCAGAATTGAAACCGGAACCGGGACCATTTCGGTTCGGTTTCCCGTGTTCCGCGTTTCCAGCTTTTCTGAAAAACTTGAACCGCCGCGTCCGGAACCGTGGCCGGTACATCCAAACAAAGCATAAATATCCAAGAAAATCACTCCATATACAGCTGAAGTTCAAAAATTAAAATTTTCATTAAGTTTGATAGACTATTTTAAACAATGACATGTTAGGAAAAAAAATAAAGAATAACTATATATATATTATATATATATTTTTAAAAACATAGTTGTTATGAATCAAAGTGATATCGTGTTAGGAAATTTTGGGCATACCTAACAAATTAATCAATTTCAATTGGTTGGGTTTATCCTCCAATTATATATTCATTCACTTAATGTTAGATTTATCCAATATGGAATTACCTGTGGTATCTTTACCGCATTGCATTAATTTAACTATATCCTTTTTCAATTAAAGTCAATTATGGTCGTGTTCTGTTTATCTTAGTAAAAGTCAATTAATACAAGAAGGGTGCTTAAAAATCCGTATTCTATGCAAACAACCTCCCAATTTCAAGGAAGTCAAATATATAGAATTGGAATTTTGCTAGACGCCGTAAACAAATTTCCAATAAAATGAAGGGGTGTTGAGATAAGTGCAATATTTTCAAATTGTGCCGCTGTCATTTTGGAGAGGAAGAATTATAAAAATCGTATAAAAAAAAGTATGCCCATAAAAAAAATTATTGTGCTTTTTTTAATCAAAAATGAAGAGGAAAAATGATAACTTGCTCCGAAATCTAGCCCCGTTTCAATGCATTTTTTATTACTTTATCTGACATTATATGATATTTCTTGAATTAATGTAATAAAGAAAGCTATTTTAAAGAGGGAATATTTGAAATTTTATACTTTTTTTATCAAATTTTAGTAAATTTATCTAAATAAATTAGTTGTCTGGATAATTAATGTAATAAAGAAAGTATTATTAAAGAGGTAATATGAAATTTATATTTTTTTTATCCAAAATTTAGTAAATTTATTCTAAATAAATTAGTTGTCTCCTCGTGCTGCGCGATGTTTCATATAATATTTAGTAAATTTATCTAAATAAATTAGTTGTCTCCTCGTGCTGCGGATGTCATATAATATTTAAAATTAAAAATTATATTTTGTTATAATTAATAATTATTTTCAAAAATTTAAATATCCAATTCATTATACTGACTAATGTCCAAAAAATAAAATAAAATATTTTTTTCCATATTCAGGCGAAAGAATCAATATATTGACATGTACACATATAAATCAAGTTTATAATTAAGCTTAAAATTTGAAATTTTTATAAATATTTTTATTAGATTTTACAATAATCTTTTTAAATATTAGTTATTGAATTCATTTTGAATAAATAATATAAAATCCAAACATAAATATAATAAATATTAAAATTTTTTTAATAAAAATTTCATCGAAGTTTGCTCTGATTTGGAATAGGTTGAACAGTACTATCGTATCCCTCCACAAATCACAAAATCATACCTTAGTCAATCATCGAAAATTGAATACACTTTGTAATTTTATCACCATTACCACATTGTTCAAGCGCACATTAATATAATGCTATGAAAAATAGTTTTATATTGTTTGCAAGAATTTTTTTTTTTGGTTGAAAGCATGATTTGATTTTCTTTTAAGGTTTCATTTATATTGAAATAGATATCTATATAAAAAATTCTATAACAGTGAAAAAAGAAAATGAAGAGATTAAATATTAATTATTTTAGAAAAGAAAGTAAAAATTTTTAAAAATATCAATGATATTATTAATTTAATTAATTATTTAAAAAATAAAAATATTATTAATGATATAATTAAATTTCCTATTAATTATATCAAATATATAAAAGTTATTTCCAACTTAATAGATTAACTTTTTGCCACGTAAATTTTTTTCCTTAGTTTTTATATATTTATATAAATATAAAGAGAACTCTAATTAAAAAACTCGTCAAAATAAATGAATAGGAGGGAATATGAAATAAAAAAAGTTTTTTATTTTATTAACATTATTTTTATTTTTTTTACGAATTCAATGTATTTAAAATAAATTTTTTATAATTTGTAAATTAAATTTATAATTAAAAAAATGGTAAAAAAATAGTACGGCATGGCAAACCTAAAATATAAATAGGAAAAGGAAAAAGGCAGAGAAAAAAAAACGTTAAGCTCGCATTGGGAAGCGGACAAGCCTTGAAAAAGATGACGACCCAATAACCCGATTATCTCCTCCACACCTTACTTTACAAGTGTGCAATACTCACATTACCATTTGCTTACACGTGTCTTACGTCTACTATACCCCACCTCCAGATTTCTCTCCGAGTTCTGTTCTCTATTCTTTTTCTCCTCCTTTTCGCTCTGTTCAAAATTCATGAGACTCTTACCAGAACTTTTTTTAATGCACGCAAATCCCAAGCAAACCCAGAGTTCGTTTCTTCTCAATAAGGAAAGTTAAAGTTTATTTGTATGCTACGTTCACGACATGAGTTATAGGAAAACAGAGCATCGCTTACCGATACAAAGAACCTACTGAATTTAGCATTGTAAACTATTTTAACGTTTGAGACTGGTTTTTCTTGTTCTATAATGGCCGGAAATGAGTGGATAAATGGGTATTTGGAGGCCATATTGGATAGTGGAGCGGGTGCTATTGAAGAACAAAAACCGACTCCAGCTGTGAATCCAGGAGAGCAAGGACATTTTAATCCAACCAAGTATTTTGTGGAGGAGGTGGTTACCGGAGTCGATGAGACTGATTTGCATAGGACTTGGATTAAGGTGGTTGCCACCCGCAACACCCGCGAGCGCAGCTCTAGGCTGGAAAACATGTGCTGGCGTATTTGGCACCTTACTCGCAAGAAGAAACAGGTTACTACTATATTTGTGTTTTTGTATGTTTGTAGGTTTAGAGAGAATCAACGTTGGCTAATTCTGCTTGTATATATAGTGTTATTTGTTTTATGGACTAATGGGTTACTGTAATAATGCGTCATAAGTTTAGAGGTAAGTGAATTCAAATCTATTGCTGCTAATGGTAGAAAAGAATGCTCTCGGTCTTCGGGATTTTATCAAAATTTTGATAAATTTCTGTGGTGAAGAGATTATATATATATATAAAAGAGATATATATATTATATTATATATATATATATAGCTAATTTATATATATGTTTAGATTACTATTAGCTGGAATTATGTCCCTGTTTAGTGGCGGTGTCAATGCTCAATTTGATCATTGCACAAAAGACATTTTACAGACAGCCCCGTAAATTTCATAATAAATAGTTTCATTTTGAAATTGTTTGGTATAATCTCTGTAATAATTTGTTACCACGAGTAGAGACGGCCAATTATGTATATGAATGTGATCGTGGAATGTTGATGAAATATCTACACCCAACCTATATATGTTAGATTACTATTAGTCTGAATTATGTCCTGTTTTAGTGGGTGTCAATGTCAATTGATCATGCAAAAGACATTTTACAGGACAGGTAAATTCATAATAAATAGTTTCATTTTGAAATTGTTTGTATAATCTCTGTAATAATTTGTACACGAGTAAGAGCAATTATGTATATGAATGTGAATGTGAATGTGATGAAATATCTACACCCACCGTGTATTTGACCAAATGCTTGTGAGCACTTGTTGCTGTGGTGTACTGGTGTAAAATTTTAGAAAGTAATTTTGCATTCTTCCTCCTATTATGTATAGGAGCATATGACCCTCTTGCTCTTGACCTTTGTTGCCATGCCATTAAGTTAAGGTCATCTTTTTTTTTTCTTTTCAATTACTAATGTAATTGCCAACATTAAAAATTTTATTCTTATGATCTGAATAGTTGGAATGGGAAGGACAACAAAGGTTGGCAAGTCGAAGATTGGAAAGAGAACAAGGACGCAGGGATGTAACTGAAGACATGTCTGAGGACTTGTCAGAAGGAGAGAAAGGGGATATTGTGGCAGAGCTGCTGCCACATGAGACCACAGTGAAAAAATTTCAGAGGAACTTTTCCAACTTGGAAATTTGGTCTGATGATAAAAAGGAAAATAAACTCTACATTGTTCTTATCAGGTTCAATAAGTTCCTGCGCCTATTATTCACATTGGAGACTTGTCTATAATCTCAAGCTGAACAACTGTGTAATGAATATGACATTTTATTTTAATATATCTCATATAAAGTCTTTAAGGTTGCATTTGGATGGGACTTCAAGGAGCAATTACTTTAGAATATCAATAGAAAGCAATACCATGTTTCACTTTTTTCCCCCTTTTATTCTCTAATCAGTGCTCGCTCCATATATGGTGGAGCTGAGAGAAGGGAGAATTTTATCTGTGTACCTCATAGTAAAATTTAAACTATAATTAGGATTATGCACTCTAGACGTTTTGATCTGTAAAATGGCATGTGTTGATGATCAGATTCTTTTTCCTAATTCCCAATTGTGGCATGATTATGTAAGTAATACACAATTTAATTTTTTTAATTGCCTGTTTAACTTGTCATTGTCATTTAGGTAACTAGAAATTTAGACTACCTTGATACTTTTCCGGTTTATAACTTTCAACTTTATATTAAGTTGAGAAATGAGAAACCAAATTATTCATTCTTGCAATCTTATCCTTTTCCACCAGTTTACATGGTCTAGTTCGTGGAGAGAATATGGAGCTTGGTCGCGATTCCGACACTGGTGGACAGGTAAATGTTGTAGTCTAATATCATTTTATTGTTACCAATGCATCTTCTATGATTTCATTCTGTGTCTTAGGCTCATATAAATAATTTACCAGGTCAAATATGTGGTAGAACTTGCTCGAGCACTCGCTAGAATGCCTGGGGTATACAGGGTGGATCTTTTTACTCGCCAAATTTCTTGTCCTGAAGTTGACTGGAGCTATGGTGAGCCAACGGAGATGCTAACTGCAGGACCTGAAGATGATGGTGAAGCCGGAGAGAGTAGTGGCGCGTATATCGTTAGGATTCCCTTTGGTCCACGTGATAAGTACCTAAGGAAAGAATTACTTTGGCCCTATGTTCAAGAATTTGTGGACGGAGCTCTTGCTCACATTCTTAACATGTCAAAAGTTTTGGGTGAACAAATTGGAGAGGGAGGCCCTATATGGCCGTATGTAATTCATGGTCATTATGCTGATGCAGGGGATAGTGCTGCGCTTTTATCAGGTGCTTTAAATGTGCCAATGGTATTAACAGGACACTCGCTTGGAAGAAACAAGCTCGAACAGCTTCTTAAGCAAGGACGACAATCAAAGGAGGACATCAATTCAACATATAAAATAATGAGGAGAATAGAGGGAGAAGAGCTTGCACTTGATGCTGCAGAACTTGTGATCACAAGTACCAAACAAGAAATTGAAGAGCAATGGGGACTTTATGATGGGTTTGATGTCAAGCTTGAGAAAGTTTTGCGTGCTCGTGCTAGACGTGGGGTCAATTGCCATGGCCGTCACATGCCAAGGATGGTGGTAAGATAGTAGCATTTTTCTTTTCATTTTCTAGCTTTGACATTTTAGTAATTGCTTCCTACCATGTTCGTATGCGACTAAGCATAAAAGAATATGGGAAAGAATGTAAAACTTACATGAAAAAGATGTGACCTAGCATTATTGAAATGGAATGATTCATGTGGACCTTCTAATTAAATAATGAAGCATAGTTCTTTTACAGGTTATTCCTCCTGGTATGGACTTCAGCAATGTTGTGGTTCAGGAAGATGCCCCTGATGTTGATGGGGAACTTGCATCGCTTATTGGTGGTAGTACTGATGGGTCTTCCCCAAAAGCAATCCCAGCTATATGGTCTGATGTGAGTGTCGCATTTTTGTCTCCGTTGTTATTCCACTCGATTAGAAATATAACTATTTCTGGTTCATCCCAACCTCATTTGGCAGGTCATGCGGTTCCTTACTAATCCCCATAAGCCAATGATTTTGGCCCTGTCAAGGCCTGACCCAAAGAAGAATATTACCACTCTATTGAAAGCCTTTGGAGAGTGTCGTCCATTGAGGGAGCTCGCCAATCTTGTAAGTATTTTGTCTTCGTATAACAGTTAAGTTGATCCGATTATTGATACAGTACAGTGAAGAAACTAATATGCTATAATGCAGACACTGATAATGGGGAACAGGGATGACATAGATGAAATGTCTGGTGGAAATGCAAATGTCCTTGTAACTGTCTTGAAAATGATTGACAAGTATGATCTTTACGGGCTTGTGGCCTACCCAAAACATCACAAGCAATATGAAGTTCCAGACATATATCGGCTGGCTGCAAAAACGAAGGTTCATTTGCAATGGGTGTTTTCTTTTTTTGGAATATATTGGTGTGGTTTTTAGGTTGACGATGATTAAGTGGTTGGATATTTGTCAGGGAGTCTTCATAAATCCAGCATTGGTTGAGCCTTTTGGGCTTACTTTGATTGAGGTTGGTTTGTTTCAATTAATTAAAGTGTTTCATCGTTCCCATCATCCTTTGCTCATAAAAAATGATGTTTTGATCTATGCTGGTTTCAAAAAATGCAGGCTGCAGCTCATGGGCTCCCGATGGTGGCAACTAAAAATGGTGGACCGGTGGACATCCATCATGTAAGGATGATCCAATCTCATTAACTACGATATAATGTATCTGCTTCTTTCAATGATTTCAATTAAATTTGTGTCCTGACACGTCTATTCAAATAAGAGCCGGAGGAAAATAAACAAACTCTAAATGTACAGCAATCAATTGGTTAATTAGAAAGTTGGAAATGATAAATTTCTTTCCCCTATCCTACAGTTCTCTTAGCAATCATTTGGAAGTAACGAACATTAATTTGATTATTGCAAATATAACCTTTTATTGCTTTTTTTTTTCGGCCCTTGGATTGGCAGGCCCTGAACAATGGCCTACTAGTGGATCCTCATGATCAGCGAGATATTGCTGATGCATTGCTCAAGTTGGTGTCAGAGAAGAACTTATGGCATGACTGCAGAAAGAATGGTTGGAAGAATATACACCTTTTTTCATGGCCGGAGCACTGCCGTACTTACTTGACTAGAGTAGCAGCATGTCGAATGAGGCACCCACAATGGCAAACTGACACCCCAGGAGATGATGGGGCTGCTGAAGAGTCATCCCTAAATGATTCCCTAAAGGATGTGCAAGATATGTCCCTTAGGCTCTCAATTGATGGAGATAAATCTTCATTAAATGAATCTTTGGACTGCTCAGCTGCAGCTGCAGGTGACCCTGAGCTGCAAGATCAAGTGAAACAGGTTTTAAGCAGGATAAAGAAACCAGAATCTGGCCCAAAAGTTGCTGAAGGTGGAAAGATTGAGACTACACCGAGTAAATATCCCATGTTGAGGAGGAGACGTAGATTGATTGTCATAGCCCTTGATTGCTATGGCACTGAAGGGGCTCCAGAAAAGAAGATGATTCAAATTGTGCAAGATGTAATTAAGGCTGTTAGGTCAGACTCACTATTTGCAAGAGTATCAGGTCTTGCTTTATCTACAGCTATGCCGATATCAGAAACAGTAGAATTCTTGACATCTGCAAGGATACAAGTAAATGATTTTGATGCATTGATTTGTAGCAGTGGAAGTGAAGTATATTATCCTGGAGCTTATACTGAGGAAAATGGAAAACTTTTACCAGATCCAGATTATGCATCCCATATAGACTATCGATGGGGTGGGGAAGGTCTAAAAAGAACTATCTGGAAGCTAATGAACATGACTGAAGGTGGAGAAAAATCAAAGGAATCATCCAGCCCCATCCAGGAAGATACAAAATCAAGCAACGCCCATTGCATTGCATACCATATAAATGATAGTAGGAAGGTAAATGAAGATATTTAATGCAACAATTGAAAGTTCGTAAAGCAGTCAGTTTTTACACATGATTTTCATACTGTTATGCTTTTATAGGTAATGAAAGTGCATGAACTGAGGCAGAAGCTTAGGATGCGAGGTCTCCGTTGCCATCCAATGTATTGCAGGAATTCAACAAGGATGCAGATCATTCCTCTCCTGGCATCTCGAGCACAGGCACTTAGGTACTATCTCAATTGAAATTAGGAGTCTACTGTCATCCTTCAATAACCACTGTGGTATATCTTTGGATGGAGTCCATTTTAATTATAATATTTAAACAATTAATTGTCACTTTAGCTTAAAGTAAAAGCCTTTAAGGACTCCCTTCCTATGCTCTTAAATTAGAAAATAAAATTTCGCAACAAATGACCCATTTTGTGACTGCACAATTTACCAGTGAACACAAAGGCTTGGTCTATTTTATTCGATGCAATTTGGACTTGTAGTTGACTTTGGTCCATTAGTTATTTACTTCCAAATTATGCACAGCGAGTAATTTCAGATAATCTTTTGGTATTAAATTTAATAATGTGTCTTCCTTAACCATCTGGTTCCTTCTGGTTGATATGGTGGTGTCCTTCCAAGGTCTAATGGTCTAACAGCAGTATAACTATTTTAAAACGAATTCATATAAATTGATTGATTGACCATCTTGCTGTTTAACCAAATCACTTGATTACCAGCTCTTATGTGGACCTTACAGCACAATGAGATGATTTTAACCAGTTAAGAACACTTATTTCTGTTTTCATTTCCTTCTCGTTGTCAGATACCTTTTCGTGCGTTGGAGATTGAATGTTGCAAACATGTATGTAATTCTTGGCGAAACTGGAGACAGTGACCTTGAGGAAATGATACCTGGGGCTCATAAGACTATTATTATGAAAAATGTGGTGACAGAAGGTTCTGCAGCACTGCTAAGATCCATGGACATGAAAGATGACTATGTTCCCAGAGATAGTCCCTTGGTTGCCTACTTGAGTGGAGATGCATCAGCAAATGACATCGCGGATGCTTTGAAGCAAGTATCAAAAGCATCTGGAATGTAAACTGGGTAAATATATATTTGTTTCAATACGAAAGTTATTCTATTCCTTTTTGTTGTTATAAGTAAATAGGATTCCTCATCCATTTTCTGATGTGGGTTTTTGACACAATTTAGTATATAGATGATAATTCCCACAACAGGAAGAGGCTTGAAGAAAATTTGTTCTGTAATAAGACTAACTACCATAGTCCTCTATTTATCTCTACATGAGATCTTTCTTCAACTGCATTTTGAGAAATAAAAATCAAGAATTCATTTCTTACTTGGTATTCTGGGCCCATTCATTAGGAAAATACAGTCTTACAGTGTATATCATGCTATTTCAAGCAGCAGGTTTTAGGCCAATAGAAGTTAAATCTTCTATAATCTATATAGAATAATAGAACTTCGAGTTTGGTATTTCATCATTGTACACTAACAGGTGTGACGTCGACAAGCATTTTGGTTAGTGTTTTTGTTGCTTTGATTTGTTTATCCAATCTTTAATTGAAAACCAGAAAGATAAATCCATGAAATAGATTAATGGAAAGCAAAATGAAAGCACTTACATAACTAAAGTTAGAATTTGACTCACTTGGCTCTATCAAAATTAAGGAATCAGCACTTGCGTGTTGTCTCTAAGCTTTATGTGCAGTTCAAGCACGTATATTTGGTCGTTGAAGCCGTCCACGGTGGATTCAGGAGTCGCAGGCACCGCGCACCGCTGGATTCTTAAACAGTGAAATAAAAAAAATGCTATGGTGACGTAGCAGTAGTTTAATCGGTTAACGACTGCCCGAGCGAGCTTTGTTACAGATCGCTTGGGTTTAAACATAAAATAAGTAGAACATTTTTAATTAACCAAATTGAAAAAAAAGTATAAAATAATTTAATAATTTCAATAATTGACTAACCTAATTGGGGAAGGAATAAATTTATTTCTAATTCATTAATCACAATTTTAAATTTTTCTTTCTAATAACTTTCTAAATGTTATGATAACAAAAATTTAATCTTTTATTATAAAATAATCAAAATTATTTCTTAATACAGTATCAATTGCTTATTAAAAATTTAAATATTGAGATTATATTCACATAACAAACAATAGACGTGACATGTTTATATAAATAATGAAAGTTCCAAATTCATTTATCATTTCTAATTTTATTATTTTTTTCATGTGAAATGTCTATGGAGAATTCCATATATCATTATCTCATTAAAGAAATTTTTTATCTTTCTTTGCTATTGCTTTATGAAACCAAAATTGCAATATTGCAACTTTGGTGAAACAGTTTGGATTTTTATGTTCAAAATATATAGAAAAAAAATTGCAATATGTATCTTCACTTATTGCAATTTTGGTGAATGATATCTTAATTTAAGTATGTGTTCATAAATTAATTGTAAAGAATTATTAAATTTGTCCTTAATAAAATAATGATACATGGATTTTTCCATGGACATCTCACATGAACGAGTGATGAGATTAGAATAATAAATAAATTCGGAATTTTCAATGTTTATACAAACACGATATGTTTATTGTTTGTTAATGATTATATTCTCAATATTTATTTTTTAAATAAGCAATTGATATTGTATTGAGAAATAGTCTTAATTATTTTATAAATAGAGGATTTATTTTTTTTATCACAGTATATAATTTTTTTTGAAAAGAAAGATAAATAAATAAATTTTAGAAGTCAATGAATTAGAACTTTTTATACTTTTTTTTATTTGATTAATTAAAAATGTTCGACTGCTTATATGTTTAATAAGAAATACAAGCATAGTTAAATTAAATCATCATCTAATTGAGGAAAATAAATTAATTACATTTATATGTTTCAAAATTATTTGAAAAGGTATGATAATTAATATTATAAGTTGAAATTAATAATTAAAGAGATTTCCGATCCATTTGGTATATAAATATTTTACCTGAAAAAATATTTTGAATAGAATAAATATTTTTTATTGAAATTGCTAATTAATTTGATAAATTAAACAAAACACTATTATCTTGTGTATTTTTCATTAATTACTAATCGATACGAGTTACTTTATTGAATTAGTAATTTTAATGCAACACTATTTATATAAATATTAAATTTATAAATAATTTCAATTTTGCATTAGACTTATAAATAGTTTTTACATCATTATTATTTTTGTCAAAATTTCAATTTCTTCACCATCGAATAATTAATACTGTTGGGAAAAAACAAAAGAAAGGGAGGAAAAGTCATAACACTGTCCCAAAAGCGCGTGGAGTACTTAATAAAACGGACACATGCTCGTAATTTATAGCCAAAATGGTGGGTATTTAATCACCCATTTGCATTACCCTACGAAGCCTAGAATCAAAGCGCCTCTCTTCGACAGTTCGTCGTCTCTAAAGTAGATTCTGCAACAACACAAAGCAAAACAGCGTACAATTTGGTCTCTGCACTTCTAACCGGAATCATGGGGGACCTCTCGTCGAACAATACCACCGGAGAGGTTCGGACAGCGCCGAAGGTCCCGATCGCCGGCAAGAGAAACATACTCATCACTAGTGCCTTGCCTTATGTCAATAACGTTCCTCACCTTGGCAATATCATTGGCTGTATTGCTCGCTCCTTCTATAAATTATTGAATATTTTGCTTCTAGTTAGATTTTTTTTAAGCTACAAGTTTAAGTGTGGTTAACTGGATATGCAAGTAATTGATAAGTGTTCTAATTTTGGCTTATTTATTTGGTTTTTTTAGGTGTATTGAGCGCTGATGTTTTTGCTCGATATTGTCGTCTTCGAGGATACAATGCCATATACGTATGTGGAACTGATGAGTATGGAACAGCAACTGAGACAAAGGCAATGGAGGAGAATTGTACACCTAAAGAAATTTGTGACAAGTAACATTTTTCACTAGTCTTTATGTTAAATTTGAATATAATTTAATTTTCATTTTCAAGATTTATGATTTCTTGAAGCTGTCCTATTAATCATGATTTTCATTTATTATGTAAAAATTAAAATTTAATGTTATTGCAAGGGTTTTGAAGGGGTTTGTTTATCTGATGCTTGTTTTGATTTTTTCATTTATTGAGCCAAATATTTTGAATTTTAACTTCTTCTCCATGGCATTCTAGGTACCATGCAATTCACAAGGAAGTATATAAGTGGTTTAATATTAGTTTTGATGAATTTGGACGTACTTCGACTCCACAGCAGACAGAAGTTTGCCAAACAATTTTTAAAAAGTTGTTGGAGAATAATTGGCTTTCTGAAAACACAATGCAGCAGGTATGGGGTCGTATTTTGCCTTGTTTAATGATGTTATATGGGCCCTTTCCTCTATATATGTGTAATTGTTTAGTTGAATGTTCACCATCATCTGTGTTACTAACTCTTACCTTGATCCAGCTTTACTGTGATACATGCAAAAGGTTCTTAGCTGATCGGCTTGTAGAGGGTACTTGTCCTACTGAAGGGTGCAATTATGATTCTGCACGAGGAGATCAATGTGAAAAGTGTGGAAAGCTGTTGAATCCAACAGAATTAAAAGATCCTAAATGCAAGGTATGCAAAGAGATTGTTCCTTTTTTTTTTTTTTTTTATTGCAAAGAGATTGTTCCTCTTTTTTTTTTTTTTTTTTTTTGTCTACCTATCAGTTTTGTTAGCAAGTGCCATCTATTCTGATTTTAGTGGGTTGGGCTTGCGAACTAGCATAACTAATTTCAGAGCCCATTTCGAGCCCCGTAAATAATCTTAAACCCATTCTTTGCTTCCCATATATTTTTATGCATTGATTAAAATCCCCTACAGGAAAGGGGAACTCTTTGGTATGTGAATAAGCGTATTTTGATGCCTTTACATTGCTATAGATTACTTTAATTCCATGAAGCTGAAGGAAATTTAAGAGGACTACAGACCAAACCCTAAATATATTTATCCAAGTATCGTAGCAATTAATGCAAAGGAATGATTTGATATTTTACTTTGACATCTTATCTGAATACTGAACAGGTCTGGTCGAAACGCCACTCCACGCATTTCGTTGATAACAATATTTCGTTCATCGAGCTTTTCCGTCTTGGCTATAAGGGATATCAAATTGGGATGTACAATATTTTTGAGAACAATGTCCGCTAGCTGGAGGATCCTTGGGCACTTCAGATGCTATTTTCAGGCTACAACATGCATGGTTTTGAAAGAGGACTAAATGTCACGATCCGTATTACTAGGGATCTTGAAATGAGCGGGTTCCAGTTCCACATTGAGAAATATTTTAAGGACTAATGGTTCAGAAATATATAGCTATTGTTGGTCATCATGTCGGTTGAGAGTCTCTGATATAGTATTTAAATGGTATATGTGAACAGTTTGGTGGTCCAATCCATGGTTTCCTTTTTTTTTTTTTTTGTCATACCTATCAGTTTGTAGCAATGCCATCTATGATTTTAGTAGGTTGGGCTTGCATAGCATAACTAAATTCTAGAGCCATGAGCCTAAATATCTTAAACCCTTCTTTGCTTCCCATTATTTTTATGCATTGATAAATCCCCTACAGGAAAGGGGAACTATTTGGTATGTGAATAAGCGTATTGATGCCTTACAATTGTATAGATAACTTTAATTCATAAGCTGAAATTTAGACTACAGACAAACCTAAATATTATCCCATGTAGCAATAATTGCAAGATGTGATGATTTTACTTGACATTTATCTGAATACCTGAACAGGTCTGTCGAAACACTCCACGCATTCGTGATACAAATCATTTGTTTCTCGAGCTTCCTCTGCTAAAGGATAAATTGGTACAATATATTGAGAACATGTCCGTAGCTGGATCCTGGACTCAGAATGCTATTCAGGCTACAAATGCATGGTTGAAAGAAGGACTAAAGTCACGATGTATTACTAGGGATCTGAAATGGGGAGTTCCAGTTCCACATGAGAAATTTAAGGACAAGGTAGAAATATATTTAGTATGTTGTCATCATGTCGGTTTGAAGTCCTTATAGTCTTAAATGGTTATGTGAACCATGTTGGTCCAATCCATGTCTTTCTTTCTTCTTCTTCTTCATATATATATATATATATATATGTATGTGTGTGTGTGTGAGTTTGTGCATGTGTGTGTGTGTTGCATTTTCACCAACTTTATTGATTATAACTTCGATTTACATTTTGATAGGTTTTCTATGTATGGTTTGATGCACCTATTGGATATGTCTCGATCACGAAGTGTTACACTCCTGACTGGGAGAAGTGGTGGAAGAATCCTGAAAACGTGGAGCTGTATCAATTCATGGGGAAGGATAACGTACCATTCCACACTGTAAGTGTACTGTTATCCATGTTTTCATTGATGACATTTGATATGGAGATAAAAATGTTAAATGCAGACTTATAAATCTTGTTTAATATCTGTGCAAATATTTCATGTCCCAACTAAGGTGCTCTTTTGGCTTAATCATACATTACTTTCCTAATCCCATACATAAACCCTGCTTGGTGGATTGCCAAGGGGTTGTTTGACAGGTCTGTAAGCTGACCATACCTTGATTTCTTCACATGTAATCTTTTTCTTCAGGTGATGTTTCCATCTACTCTTCTTGGAACTGGTGAAAATTGGACCTTGATGAAGACCATAAGTGTTACGGAATACTTAAACTATGAAGCAGGTTAGTTAATCATGTGATATTGATTTCTCCGATGCAATAATTGGTAAATTACTCAAATGGAAAAAAAATTATGAGGATAACCTTCAAAGATCAAGAAGATATGAGCAAGCTAATGTTTTCCCTTTGATATCTTAAACTTTTTTAATTTGTTATTGCAGGGAAGTTTTCCAAGAGCAAAGGCATAGGAGTTTTTGGTAATGACGCAAAAGATACAAACATTCCTGTAGAAGTGTGGAGATATTATTTATTAACTAACAGGCCAGAGGTAATCACGTCCTTTCCAACACAATTTTCTCTGTAGTTAGATATTCTTCCCCGTTTTTGCATTATGTAAAATGCTAATTGGTGGCGCTTGTGTGATTCAGGCATCTGACACACTATTTACGTGGTCCGATTTGCAAGCAAAACTTAACAGTGAGTTGCTCAATAATTTGGGCAACTTTATCAATCGGGTTTTGAGTTTTATTGCTAAACCTTCAGGTACATAAGCTGCGCTTGAGTTCAGTTTTAGATTTCTGAAATTACTTGTTAATAAGCCAGCTTTTAGTGGATGGGAGTTGCAGGTGTCTGTCCATAACAGGGCTTGGCATTTTGAATATATTACTCTAGTTCTTTTTTTTTTTTTTTTCATCATTTTTGTTCCCTTTGTCTTTTCCTAAGTTTGTTTAATTCTGAAAATTTCCTCTTTTTTCATTCTACTTCAACTGTGCCATCCATATTTCATTTTTCTTTAATCATCTTCTCTCTAAAAGGATAGACTTGGTGCATGATTTTTCATGCGTTTTTCCTTCATTCACTTGTAAAGTTCTTTATAGAGTTTGTAGCACCAATAATCATTCTGATGCACCTCTCAGTGTACAACTTCTAGGATTGACTTGCTGCCGCTATTTGTGTCTTAAGGAAAACTGGAATGACCAAATCTTCACTGACAATTTTAATCTACAGGCACAGGATATGGATCCATCATTCCAGAATCTCCAAATGCTGACTCACATCCCCTGACAAAGAAATTGGCTCAAGAAGTTGGTAAATATGTGGAGCAATATGTTGAAGCTATGGAGAAGGTGTTAATGATTTGCTATTTACTGCTGTTGCATAGTGCAGACATCCTGAATCTTCTAATGCTCTTTGTTGCATTTTTCCAGGTTAAATTAAAGCAAGGACTGAAAACTGCAATGAGCATTTCTAGCGAAGGGAATGCATATTTGCAAGTAAGCTTGAAACGCTGACAATTACTTAGATCCATAAGCTTCATTACTCGTGCGCCTTGTTATGGTTCTGCTGTTTTGACATGGCTCCAAAACCAATTTCTGTTGCATTTTCTTGTAGGAAAGCCAATTCTGGAAGCTTTACAAAGAAGACCAGCCTTCATGTAACATAGTTATGAGGACCTCTGTAGGACTTGTGTATCTTCTTGCATGTTTATTAGAACCTTTCATCCCATCTTTCTCTCTTGAGGTAATTAGTTGCCCTGGAGATCCATGAGTGGTTGTCCTGGAAATTTTATCAGATGTTAATTTGAGCTGATACATTTTTTCTTTTAAAATTTTTATACAAGGTTTTCAAGCAGCTTAATTTGTCTCCTGAACAAGCTTCACTTTCTGATGAAAAAGGAGATATTGATAAGGCAAAGAGACCTTGGGAGTTTGTACCTCCCAATCATAAAATTGGACCACCAGAGCCATTGTTCAAAGAATTGGTATGCCCTCTTATACCTCATCTGCAGATCTGCATTATTGCATGCCTGCATTTGGATTTTTGTTTTTTTTGGGGGTAGGCGGGTTTGCTTGGGAATGTGCAGGTCTTTGTTGGTGATGTGGGAGCAGGTGTAAGAAATGGTGTCTAATACTTTTACCTTCGTTTATGATATTAAATTAAGTTCATTGACATGTAGAAAGATGAAGAAGTAGATTTCTTCAGGAAGAAATTCGCTGGAAGTCAAGCTGAGAGGGCAGAAGCTGAAGCAGCAAAGGTTGCTGAGCAACTGAAGAAGACAAAAGTTTCAGGTAATAAATATTTTTGTCTTTTCCTCTCTTAATCAAACCATGTTATTCTCTATCCCAGAAGCAATTGCTAATTTCTGCTGGATTGCTTTTTATCACTGTATATAATAGTAGTTGATGCCGATTGGTTTCTAATAGTTGCTTTGCATGACTTTTTTTGTCTTAATGGATAAACAGACAGTGGAAAGAAGCAACAGACTAAAAAACCAGCTGCCCAAGCCAAATCAAAGAGCACTGTCGAACCAGAAATTTCGATCACAAGACTTGATATTCGTGTTGGTCTAATTACGAAAGCTCAGAAACATCCTGATGCTGATTCTCTCTATGTAGAAGAAATTGATCTGGGAGGAGAGACTAGAACAGTCGTTAGTGGACTTGTCAAGTATATACCTCTAGAAGAGATGCAGGTATTTGTTATCTGTTTTTGTAGTTCGTAATACTATGATGCCTTTTTTTCACTCAGGAAGTGCCTTTCTTCGCCTTTTTTTATGTTTACGATTGCTTTGTAGAATCGGAAGGTCTGTGTTCTTTGCAACTTAAAGCCAGCAACCATGAGGGGTATTAAGTCACAAGCTATGGTTCTTGCCGCTTCCAACAGTGACCACACCAAGGTAACCTGGCATCAATCGTATTTGCATCTTATGCACTTTTTTCTTAATCTGTTTTCTAAGTGTCAAATCTTTCTGAACTTTCTAATAGATTTCTAATTGTCACTCTGAATATAGCCTGTTAGAGTATCTCTGTTAACTAGTAATTTAGTTAATCGATCAATAATGGGATTCGTTGCTAGAAGAAAGGTTCTGTGACATGAACGCCCAGCCAATATGTTTGTGGAATATAGTGTTGTAGCTGATGGTAATAAACCTGTTTATCAAGCATGTATTGGTCAATCTGTGCTGGGTGTCTATGAAAAATTAAATTTTAGCATAAACATTTTCTTTTGATGTGCGGATTTGGATGTTGACATGACAAGTTAGATCTAGGTGCTAGAATCATGTAACTGCTCATAATTTTTAGTAACTCCATTTTTTTTTTCAGGTGGAGTTGGTCGAACCACCTGCATCTGCTGCTGTTGGAGAGAGAGTTACATTCCCTGGGTTTGAAGGTGAGCCCGATGATGTCCTAAACCCTAAGAAGAAGGTTTGGGAGACGCTGCAAGTGGATCTCCAAACTAACGCGGATCTAGTAGCGTGCTATAAGGATACTCCATTAACCACATCTGCTGGAGTATGCAAGGTTGCATCCATTGGAAGTGGTTCAATCAGGTAGGTAGATACCTTAAAAGTATTGACGAGTCAGAAAACCCCAGATTTTGTCTCGCTTTTTTTTTTTTTTTTAAGTTTGCCATAGCATTTTCAATTTCTTGTAAAAATGACTTTTTCCTTGTAATGTACTGTGTAAAATGCTACATGTATTGCTACGTTTATAATGGTTGAGTTGGATTCTCAATTGGCAGCTCGCAAGAATAAAAAAAAAAAAATCTGAATTACTGGTATTATAATGTTTAAAACTTCAATTAGATGATGCATATTGAAAATCTTCAAATTTGAGTTTTGAACTGTGAAACCTGATCTTACAAGCAGATTTAATATAAAAACTAAAAACCATTATAAATCTGATTAGTAGGCATCAACATTTCCAATCAACTGCATAGAATCCCTGTCTCTGTATATTGCTTCTGTTTGTTTATATGTATAGGTTTGCTCCTTTCCTAGTATGATTATAATTTAAGACAGTTTTGTGAATATATAGACCAAAAAGAGGATTAGCATTTCGGTAAATGATGTTTAGTTTATTGGCTAGGAAATGGAAATCCAAGGAGGAAAATGAAAGAAATTTTGTGATATTGATTGCAAATGAAAATTTGGAGCTCGATGAAATTGATAATCCAGCTCCAATTAGCATTCCAACTGTAAAAATCTAGACACTCATTGGCCATTGCACTCAATATGCCTTGAATTATAATCATTCAATTTATATTAATAGTAATGACACATGATTTGAATTTTTTTTTTTTTTTTAATTCAGTGAGAGGTCCAACAAGTGGAAATGACTTGAGTCACTAAATTTATGAAAGCTATTATACTAAATATAAGATTAACTGGGTCACACCTATCTGTAATATTTAAAGAAATTTAATTTTAATGTGCGTTAATTAAAAAGAATTATTTTGATGAAATATGTACATTTTCACGGTATCAACTTGCCTTTTAATTGATTTTAAAATATAAAATAATAAGTACTCTAGATTTTCTATACAAAATCATATATTATACTTTTCTTTAGAATAAGCCATCCTAAATAACAGGTAAAATTCTCACAAAGAACCAAAACTGATCTAAGAGAAGTATGATCTACTTTTGATCAACAATGCAGTCTCAAACCAAAATTAAGATCGTGGTACAAAACAATTTAATTAAATTATTGTTTTCACAAATTACTCATGAGATAAAAAAATAATTTAATTAAATTATTGTTTGATTTTACTATAATTTAATAAATTAATTATTTTATTAATCATGGTACAAAACTTAAATGATTTATATTTTGAGAGAAATGGGAATTCGTATTAATTAAAATCCTTATTACTACAAACATAGTTTAATTATTAACGGTGTTTAGAAGTTGACAAACTGAAAATGCAACGTTGTTCTCTTAATATTTTAACCAATTAATAAAATAGTCGACGGTTACTAAAACAAATGTTAAAAGATCAGAATTCAGAACCGTATATTTCACGCGACTGCAAAGGCGCTATAAAAGCATATCCCAGAAATATTAAAAGCGGCATTAATCAACTTGTACGAAAACAATCTCAACAATGCACTAATTTAATCCAACGGACTAAATCTTCTACACGCTCTTCTTAATCTATCACGTGTCAGCCATAAAAGCCTGTAGCCACGCGCTGACTTGTATACAGGCCAGCCCTAAATTGTTCCCCCCACTCACAAATCCTCTGCAACTGCAAGTGTTATTTCCTTTTCTTTTTTAGCATTTTCCGTTTTCCTAATATTATTTTCCTTCAGGAGAGAGAAACCCAGGCGAAGAGGAAAACTAGAGAGAGAATATAAATATTCGTTAAAAGAGTATGACTATTACACCTTTTGCAATTTGGATCTGCCTCTGAAAGGTTAGTTTCTTTCTTCTCTAAATCATTTTGTTATTATTTATTTTCTTTTGTACACGAATTGAGGAATTGTTGATGCGAGTAATAGCTTAGCAAGTATCTGTTTCTGCTCGGTCGTATTGTGAAGTAACGTGATGATGAAGATGATAGTTAACGACGTCGTACGCAGATTTGGAAGTGCATTGATTTGCGTTGAGAGATGAATGTTATAGAGGTGTAGTTGCTGGTCAATGGCTAATGCTTATTGACTTTGTGCGGTCCTAATACTGGTGATTAGGTCAAATGCGAACTGAAAATCTGAAAATAGGAATTTATTAGTCTTGATAACTGTCAATGGCTTTTGTTATTTAAATCTGCTTCAAAATGTTTGCCAATTTGGTATGCTGTGAATGTGATTCTTTTGGTGTTGTTTAGTTTATGTTTTTAAGTGTTTCTTTTTCTGGAGTAGAGTTGATTTCATATGGTTGAAATAAAAATCTTAAATTGATGAGAAGATAATGAATGTAGCATTGGTAAGATATCTATTCTTGTGTTAAATTTGCTCCAAAATTCAAATTTTCCTTTCTTGATTTTTTTTTTCTACTTCTAGTTTTGATAACACTAATGATTGTCGGACAAGAAGCTTGGATTTTGATATATTAGACATTTAGACCCTAAGATTCAATGGCATGTGTCTTGATGTGCATGTTTTTACTTGTTATCTACACTAGTTCCGAGAACCCATTTGGCGTCCAATTACCTTTAAAGAAAAAAAGTGTGTGACATAATAAAAAAAATAGTAGTAAAAAGGTGAGATTTTCCCCATTATTATCTGCTTTTCTCACCATCTATTATATATATTCATATTTTCATTCTTACAAGAGGAGGCAAATGAATTCGAGGGACTTGTTTGAGCTGTTTTTTTTTTTTTTTTTTTATTTCAAATAATCATAATATTTATATCATTATTTTCATTCTTACGAGGACAAATGAATTCGAAGGGACTTGTTTTGAGCTGTTTTTTTTTTTTTTTTTTTTTGTTCAAATTTCTGAGTGTATTTAGGTTGCCTATGGCTTCATTTACCATGTTTACTACTGTTTTTCCTTTTGTAAAAACTAACCATGTAACATTGAATTCTGTAGCCACAAACAGTGTACTATATCAAATGCATTCTACCTACGACAAATCAATTCCCTGAACCATCATAATGATCATCTTTGATTGCAATTATAATTACAAATGTTTATTTCTAACTTGTTCAAATGAAACGCTCCTTTCCATATTACCCTTGCTCTTTCATATCATTGCTTTTTCCCAAAGGAGATTGTGGAGATTTAACGGTGGAAAAGGAGTATAATTGGAGCAGGTTAACAGGGTTGTTAAAATGTGAAGAAAGTACAAAGTGGCCTCGTTTCTAAGATATGCTTTTCCAAGGGGCTAATGATCTATCGAAGCACAATTATACGAGGAATTTTGGAATTCAACATAATCGTGATTTTCCTTTTAAGTTTTAGTTTTGGGTCCTCGTACGTATTTGATTATTGGCTGCTTTAATGTTGTTTACTTTTATATAACGGCACTTTATCTCTCTTGAAATATTTAATTTTCAATTCTTTTTTGATTTGATTTACAAGGCAACTTATTTTTCATTTTTCATTTTTTTATGTAAATTGTCTTGAAAGAAGTTGAAGTTCAATGGAAAATGTATACATTAATTAAGTGCAATTGTTATGACTATGTGAGGCTTATGAAATATTTTCATAGTTTCCAACAGGTTTCTGCAATGTTTTTTTTTTTTTTTTTCTGTTTCAAATTCTGAGTTGTATTTAGGTTGCTATGCCTCATTTACCATGTTTCTACTTGTTTGCCTTTTGTAAAAACTACCATGTAACATTGATTCTGTAGCCAAAACAGTGTACTAATCAATGCATCACCTACAGACAAATCATTCCTGAACATCATAATGATCATTTGATTGCAATTTAATTACAAATAGTTTATTTCTAACTTGTTCAAATGGAAACCTGCCTTCCATTTAACCCTTGCCTTCTTTCATATCATGCTTTTCCCAAGGAGCATTGTGGAGATTTACGGTGGAAAAGGAGTATATTGGAGCAGGTTAACAAGGTTTAAATGTGAGAAAGTACAAAGTGCTCGTTTCTAAGTATGCTTTTCTCAGGGGCTATGTCTATCGAAGCACATTATAGAGGAATTTTGGAATTCAACATATCGTGTTTCCTTTTAAGTTAGTTTTGGGTCCTCGTACGTATTTGATTATTGGTGCTTAATGTTGTTTACTTTTATATAGGCACTTTATACTCTCTTGAAATATTGTATTTTCAATTCTTTTGATTGATTTACAAGGCAACTTATTTTTCATTTTCATTTTTTATGTAAATGTCTTGAGAAGTTGAGTTCATGAAATGTATACATTATTATGTGCAATTGTTATGACTATGTGAGGCTTATAAATATCTTTCATAGTTTCCAAAAGGTTTCTGGCATTCGTTCATTAGAGTCGTGTTCAGTGTATGACTCAAATTAATTCTCACTTTTGCTGATAGTTATAACACTAATTTTAGTTTACAAAGTAGTGCTGGTCGTCAGTTTTTCTTTCCAATGAAGGTTTATCATCTCATCTATTGCAGTGCATAGTATTGCAGGTTATAACCTCAGCAATATCATAGCAGAAGGTGCTTCTTGAGTTGTTATTCGTTTTGGGCACACATATAGATGGCAGAAGGACTATCAAGCTTTTGGGGTCCTGTAACAACTGCAGAATGGTGTGAGAAAAATTATGTCTATTCTCCTTATATTGCAGAGTTTTTCAATACGATATCTAACGTCCCAAGCATTCTTTTGGCATTTATTGGCCTGATAAATGCTCTGAGACAACGGTTTGAGAAGAGGTTTAGCATACTTCACATATCTAATATGATACTTGCCATTGGAAGCATGCTTTACCACTCCTCACTACAACGCGTGTAAGTGTTCTTCTGTCTTCTTCAATAATCAATATGCTTCATTTCTTTTCATTGCTTCACTAGTTATTTGGACCAATGAATTAAAATTCCTTTAAAATTAGAACTATTTAGTAGATATATACTTTGAATGTGATTTATATCTTTTTTAATCTGGTGAACTTTATAATTTTCTTGCTTAAGAAGTTAAAACTTCCATTTAGTCTGTAGGAAGGAATTTTATGCATTCCTTTGGCGGCTTCATTGGGATAGGAACATCTAAGAGATCTGCATTTTGAATTCAAATGAAGCGAAAGTGTAAGAGATGCCTCTAGGTTACATATCCTGCTAAAAATTTGATTCTAGGTTTATATATGACAGCCTTAAATCTTGTTGACTGTCTGGACCTTTCAGATACAGTGCATAAGTAAATGCGTATAGACAACATGGTATTTGCATGAATAAAGACGTCATAAATTTCTCCCTCTCAGGCAATGGAGAATTGAGGAGTATCTGAGCTACCTCTCTTGATTTTACCCTTGGAAATAAATTTCCATTATTTTAGGTATTTAACTACATTTTTGGTAGAACTATGAATTCCCTATTTGTTAATGAAGTGATATATACTCTTTGAGATTCTTCAATTGGTGAATGAAAATCAGAGGAGAATAGAAGAATATCAATAAAAGGGTTTCAGTGGAGTGATGATTGAATGACTTCTGTTGGCCTTATATTTGTTGAAGAATCTCTCAAACTTATGTGCTAATATATCTGTATTTCTGCCCGTGGCAAACACACGTCTTCTCTGATTATATAAAACTGTGCGGCACTATTTGTTTTGTTGTCATTGGCATTTACATTATGTTGATTTAAGGTGGGTATACGACCTATTCTCAGGCAACAACAAGGTGATGAAACCCCAATGGTGTGGGAAATGCTTTTGTATCTCTATATTCTTTATTCACCAGATTGGCACTATAGGAGTACAATGCCCACCTTCCTGTTTCTCTATGGTGCTGCATTTGCTGTCTTCCATGCATTGGTTCGTTTTGGAATTGGTTTTAAGGTGCACTATGCAATACTTTGTCTTCTCTGCACACCTCGGATGTACAAATACTACATCTACACTGAGAATGGGTCTGCAAAGCGGCTTGCAAAATTATTCGTGGCTACCATATTCTTGGGGACTATTTGTTGGCTGTTTGATCGCATTTTCTGCAATAAAATTTCTAAGTGGCACTTCAACCCGCAAGGACATGCTTTGTGGCATGTTTTGATGGGCTTCAATTCATATTATGCAAACACATTCCTGATGTTTTGTCGTGCTCAGCAATTAGGATGGAATCCTAAAGTCGTTCACTTCCTGGGGTGGCTCCCATATATTAAGGTTCAAAAACCAAAGACCCAGTGAGAAATGCAGGGAAGCAAGTGGCGTCCGTTTGACACTCTTAAATTTGGAGGTAGATATATGGTTTTGCCCGATGAACAAACAATAGAAGTCAAATTTTTCCTTATCTTCTTTGAAGTGGATGTAAATGATAGTTGAATATTGCAATCGGCAGTTGCATTTTGGTTAATTGAAGTTGTATAACAAGTGGTTTTGCTTAGAAAGATGTATGGTCAGTGTACCATATATTATTTCCAGATTAAATAGGTCCTTGATTCTTCTGCAAATCTGAACATGTAAATTCATCTTGTTGTTACCTACGCATTTTTAGATTTCTTAAATACAAGAGTTCTATTACAAGGTTCTGCTCACTATATTTGACCGTGGTCAACATTAGAACAGGAATTCAGCCACCTATGCAGATCTGTGAATCAATCTTAAGACCAATTTATATTCATTTGTAACTTACCTGTTCTGTAATTGAGTTATTTTTACTTGCTAGTGTCAAAGAGTTGTTCGAATGGACGCAATGCATATTGAACGTAAAAAAGCTATTAGACTATTTCTCAATTGGACTAGTCTGTAAATCACAATGCACAAAGTTACAACTGTTACAAATCTTGATCATTTTGCAGAAGGCATTAATTTCACTCTAGTTACCATTGTTGCCTTATATTATTTATTACTAAGCACAAGATTAAAATTAGTGACATTTGCTAAAACATAAAGAAAGTCACAAGTCATTAATTTTCAACAACTTCCACATTGGCAATAATAAATTTATTAAGTCTATATTGGAGTTATTATAACTTTTACTATGTATTGAAACATAACTGCATTAAAATTTACTAGTAAATTCATTGACTGCATGAACTAAAGGTTGTTAAATAGATTAAAAAAAAAAAAAAAAGTGACTAAATTATTAAACACGTTTGAGTTTGAATTCAAACGAAATTAGCAATAGCAAGGAGGGTCAGCCATAAACCCTGAAACAAGATTAGTCTCAAACTCACTCGGAGGAAAACAGATTATTATATAAAATTTTATCGGGCACTGCAAATGTCTGTTGTTCTTAATCAATGAACTAAAGTAATGTGAAAAGTATTTACAAGCTGTCAAGTTTTGAAACATTAATCTATACAGAATACTAAAATAACCTTTCAATGATTAAAACTTTTACCAAGATTTTTTAATCCCGGTCTGCAGCTTGAAAAGACTCTGCCAAGAAGTAGTAGCCAAATTTCCTCCGGGGAAAATCTTTGATAATTCCTCGGCGTGACTTTTGTCTTTAGTAAATTGTCAATAGCAAAACTCTCTGCACAGGGGAAGGAGACAAATTGGACCTTCTCCAGAAAGCATTCTAAATCTGAGCAAAATTATACAACAGGCAGACTTGACTACCTCTTAAGTCCATGAGAATGAAATCAAATCGATTTGATCAATAGGCAAGGGCAAGCAAGCATGCACTTTGTGTTGGAAGTTGCGAATACAGAAAATATTAGGGCCTGTTAGAAGACAACAGTTGATTCTGTCTGCTACTTTTGCATCAAAAGAGCCAATCGCAACTTGCCTGCCTGACATTGTTTTACAGGATTTTGGAATATTGTGACTCTTGCCGTATTATTATGTTGAAGAACAACATGAGCAATGCTAAAAGAATCGCCTTTTTCAACTGCAAATTGCCATTCTCTTACTGTTATTTCAAACCAGTCCTTCCTTGTAGATCTTGTTGCTTTTACTTCAAAGTACTCTCTACCATTTCCATTCTCTTCCATAACTATATCATAGGGTAACCCAGTTTCATTGTCTTCATTAACCCACTTCACAACTCGCTCACCGAATTTTTCAGTCAAATATTTGAAAGCCACACGTTCTCCTAGTCTTCCAGTCAGCTGTATCTGTTTAGCATCGACCTTCCTTGTGTTCAACTTCTCTCTCTGTGCAAATCTAGATTTAACTACTTCATGGCCATCTGAAACAAGAGGCAAGTCAACAGTGTCAGCAGCAATATCCATGTTTAGAGTCTGACTGGAAGCATGAACAAAATGATGGTCCATATTTTCAGACTCTGGTGAAATTGATAGTTGTACGTTCTCTTCAATAGTCCAATCAGTATCTATCTCAATTGGCTCTGACGTAGCTGTTTCTATCTCAATGTCCTGTGAATCATCCTCATCATCCATTCCTGAACCGTTAAGTTGTGTTACTAGAGCCTGGGTATTAAAATCGTTTGCACGAGCATAATCAGTAACTGGTGCAGTTCTCCAGTCCCCAAATGGCCAATTTGAGCTGGTTCCCATTTTCCTCTTGAACTTTGAGCTTTTTTGCTCATTTGCTGCTGATCCAACGCCTAAATTAAATGATTTATCATCCTTTGGCAAAGGAGAAATCGATGAGAGTGACCAAGTAGGTTCATCATCAGGAAGCTTTGGCACCTTTTGGCTATTCACAATAAATAACTCTGTTTGGTCCTCAGAGGCACCAGATTCCATAACAGTTGTAATAAGGAGGAGGAAATTTGCCAAGGATCTATCTGAAGCACCATCAAAGAACAAACGAGAAAGCTCCAAAAATACATCATTTATATCTGATTGTGAAGCTGTGTAAAAGGTATTACCCTGCAAAAGAAATTAAACGGGATATAATTATGCCGGTCAAGACAATTTGCACACATCAGAGTTCATTGCTATCATAGATCGCCATCAAGATCAATTTACCAAATTCTCAATAAAAGATATGTTCATGGAATCCCATTGGCAGGATTTTATTAAGTATAATACTTCTATAGTGCACACATTTCCTACATTCTCAAGGCCGTCATAAATGAGAAAATAATAGTTGTTCCAAACGCCAGTAAGTTTGCAGGCATTAAAAGATAACTATAGTGAGAAATGAAACAAGAATAAGAGATTTTATTCAATACCTGCAGAAGACAGCTACATTCATATCGCTTATTAGATGAACTGCCAATGCCTTTTATTGCATTCCTGTAGAATAATTTCTCAACAACAGTCACCTTCAACTGCTTTATATCATGGAATCCAGACTGCTTAAGTTGCAAATATTTATCAGGGTGTATGCTATACATATAGCGTTGAGCATAAGGAAGAGCCCAATTAATCAATGAAGCTTTGAAGCTAGAGTCTGCTGGACCATAGTATATAGCTTCTCTAGTTATGATCTGCATGAAGGAACATGATATAAGATTATAAAGAGAATGATGCTTCCCTAGTTATGATCTGCATGAAGGAATATGATATAAGATTATAAAGAGAATGATGAAGAATGAAAGAAAAAGAAATAAGAAAGATTTTTGGATTTAAAATGCATAGCAACATGCCCTTGAATTTCTTTCCCCTAGTTTTTCAGTATGGAGGTGTCATGAGTTAGATTTCATGACCTACACTAAGCATGCCTCCTTTATGGTCTAATCCTAGAATTATCTGTGCTGACTAGCGGAGAAAAGAGGAAAATATCTGTGTTATGGTCTAATCCTAGAATTGGACCCTGACCAACTAGAGAAGGGAAGGGGGTGTGCAGTTATTCAAAGGCAGGGTGCCTACCTTTGAGAGAGCAGGAATCCCTAATTTATGCATGATGTCTGAGATGTCAGTTTGAAGCTTCTTTTCCTCATCATTAAGATTGACGAAATGCAGGGAGTCAATGTTGTCCAGATCCTCAAATATGCCCTTCAAATTCCTATCATCACACCAGCACACCAAACCAAATGAAGAGTGTAGCGACACCCACTTATCTTGCACAGTGGGAAGTACTGTGTATTCCACTTTCAGAAGACGTTCTTTCATGTGGATGATATCATCAGAGCTCAGTAATCCAGATTTCAGCCCATCAGCCCACTTAAAGAAAATTTGTGAAACCTAAGACAAATTGAAAGGATTAGATTGCAGCAGAACTTCTTGACCTCAGATTCTAAATACTATAAAGTTAGTTACTTACTGCGCTAGCAACTTGTGAAGGCAAAGCAACAGCTGATAACTGGAGCAAAATATCAAAATAACTATGGCAAGATGGGGTCTCATATACACCACACTCTTTAACAAAAAAGTCATGCAGTCCAGCATAAACACTGCACAATGTCTTGCTTAAGGGCCATCGAGGGCCACGTGTTGAGCCACATTGAGGATTAATACCTTTCATGTGGTCAACCAAGCCAGTTGGATCATGCCAATGAACTTCTTCAGAAGACAAGAATATACCAGACACCATATCCTCATGCCTTAAACCAGATTCAAATGGAATGAAAATGAATGGTACTGAATGGAGTGCCTCAAAAATTTTATTCTTCGAAACAGCCATTTCCGCCCAAATAAATGTGTAAAATCTGGACATTTGTGCTACACTGCACAAACACAACCAAAAAAAAAAAAAGAAAAAAGAAGCCTAATGAAATGCAAATAAGAGAATTATAGCCATATAACAATAACTAGAAGTTGACATGAATATTGGCAATAAAATAAAGATATTGAAGGAATAAAGCAGAATGGCTAGAAAAATCATGCATTTAAATTTAAGATAGCATCCTCAGGTACCATGACAAGAATCAGAAATAAATGATATACACATTTTAACAATGTTAATTTTCATGATTTTCAGCTTCATAATAATCATGATTACCTCCTCTAAGTCATAACAGAAGTGTAGTAATACCTGGCTTTGAAAGAGGTCTCTGATTCTCTCCATATTCTCAATATTTCCAGAGCATCATCAAGAGTAACCTTAGTCTTAAAGCCAATATCACTCAGTAACTTTGTGCTTCTCACCTGTTCCAAAAAAAATATACCAAAACAGATCATGTCAAGAAGACAACCAGATGTTATCATAGAATATCCAGGTATTCATTGTTAAACATTTGTATCTTCTAATGTCCACAGCAGACGGGTCATGATGTCCAACTTATCTGTTATTCAGATCTACTACATGTACAAGCTTCTTTGAATATACAAGCAGCCATGCCAACCCACCCATCCCCAATCAAACCGTAGAAAGGGAATATGCAAGAGATTGATAATTGCAGAGGCTTGAAGCACATAAACTACCTAATTTCAAATGGCATAATCATAGAATAAAATTTTACTTTGACATCATTATATGAGAATTCATTTAATGATTGAGGTGATTAAAGCCTTTCATATATTGTTCTGATCCTCACAACCAACAACTATATAGTTCCGTGGAAGAGGGATAATCAAATGAGAACTGGTTATCTTAGTTCTCATTCTCACACATACAATACAAACTGGCACGCTTCAAGTGTAATAAATTCTAAATCATAAATTAACTTGGTGTGAATATCATACTGACCTTGGGAAGAGCATATGGTGCTGAAGCACCTAGGATACTGCGTATTGCATCACAATCATAGAACAAACTTTTAGGGTAGTGAAGTTCATTGTCCATGCTTGATGCTATCCATGGAACATCATGGATGCTGCTTAAGAAGGAAGACTTGAAGGTTCTGCCACCAGCACTAGATTTTAAATTGCAGTGACCTGTAGTTTTGTCACTAAAGTCATCATCCCACATTTTGTCAAGTACCTCCAAAAGATACATACATCGTTCCCTATCACTTGTCTTGGACAATAGAGACAACATCTGCATCAACTCGAAGGATTCCCAATCACTGGCTAGTGATCCAGGGGAACTGAGCTCTTTATCCCATGTTATATCATTCAAAACAGTATGACATAAATCAGAAATACATTTTTCAATTTGAACAACCTGCACAAAGTCTGTGACACCAATTTCCTGGAAAAAACTTCTCCACATCATCAACGCATTTGAGAGCGAATCATTTATTGGATGCTTTAAATAGGTTATGTCAACCTCATGCCATTTCATATCCAAAGCATTAATCAATTTACTTATATTGATAAGACTTCCAAATTCTTTACTAAAATGAATGGATGTCTCAGCAGGCCTTCTATATCCAAGATTTGTCAATATATAAGCTTTATTTCGCAACTCAGAGATAATGTGCATCCTTTCAACACAACAATGAGGACAGCTGGATCGTAGGTGGATCATCACAAAGCAGAGGTAATCCGTCATTAACCCTCTGTCTCTATTAGTGATTCTGTCATCAGATATAGCTGGTAAAATGTGAATCTTGACAATTTCATGTGCAGACAGCTGCTGGACACCAATCTTCTGAAGCATCCTAGCACTATTGTCTACTGAAGTACCATCAACAGCTGATGCAGAAAAGAGTCCAGAGTTTACGGTCCTAAGTTTGGCATATAATTGTGGAAAAGCATCAAGTTCCTGTGCATCATCAAGACCAGCACGGAAAATATTAGAATGTAACCAAATTGTACCCTTATCCACTGAGCTGTAAGTACCATCTGAAAGAGGAATAAATGGGATATGTCGAAGGTTATCAATAAGATCAGTTGGCCCAGAAGAATGGGAAAGCATGGTGTAAAGAGCATTTAGGAAAGATGATAGCCAACTAAGACTCATCAACTTTAGGCCACTTTCTGTACGACATAAACAGGTCATAAATTTTATAAGAATTTCAGGTCCATAGTCTGCAATACCTAATGCCTTTGCAAGTGAATCGGACAAAACTATATTCTTATCTAGGAATCCCAGACCCAGGTGTTCTTGAAGCAAGCTATCAGGTAGAAGATTACGGGCCTGTTCATTCCAACCTCTCAGAACACTGCATGGAGGAACCATTTTACAACTATCCCCTTCCAGAAAGAGACAGCTGGTCCTTCGTAATTCTAAAGCAATTGCCTTAGGGAGCCCAGAAAAAAAACCATGCACCTCACCAACAAGCGGAACAAAGCTCATATAAGCTGCCACAGCTTTTCCTGGATTCTCCCTGAAACAAGAAAGAGTACAAAATGATCTCTCTGCCCTGACAAACAAACCCGGAAACTTTGTCAACAGCCACTCGTTCCAGGGATCATTCTTATCTACTTCTTCTCTAGATGAAGGAAGAACAAAGTCGCCCTGGAGAATAAATTTTAGACCATAAGTCCTTAGAGGAAGAAAAGAAAAAACAGGCTGTTGGTCCAAACATGGATGGTAATCCCCATTATCCAGTTCCTCCAGTGTAAATGCAATTGCAATTTCAGTTGTCTGAACGGTAGGACGACTGGCATGTGCTTGCAACTTCTGAGATGCAACAAGCCAACTCATTTTATCTCTTCCACATGAGACCTTTACAATTCCATCTGGCAAAATTTCTTTTCTCATCACAAGGAGTGAATTATTGAGTGTGTTCAGAAACATGATACATTGAAGCTTATGAAGAAAGAGTAGCAAAGAGGGATGAAGATCTGAGAACATTCTCATGGCAGTTTTTTCTGATAATTTTGACCGGAAGGGAAGAGCAATACAAGTGTTCCAACAATTCTTATCCGTTTGACCAGTCTCTCTAGACAACAACCTGCTAAACAAGCCAACATTGCAAGGAGGTACAACTGTGGGCAAAACAAAACCAATCTGACCCTCACTTATGTCAAACTTAATATGAAAACCGTTGGAGTGAATCTCTGGAGCATCAGTTACCTGTGAAAGGACCAAAAAACATTGATGGGAAAAAGGAATTATAGAAGCGAAAGCAGATTCATATACTCCATGCTTTCTCAACTTATGATCCAAATAAGTATAAAGTTAAAAACGTAATTTTATAATTTTCAATTCTTATGCAACCCATGATAGTTAAATTACCATACTTCACTAAGATTTCAATTCTCTAGTAAAAGAATTCTAGCCAATGATTTGATTCTACATGAGAAATTACAATTACCTGAAAAGCATATAGAATCACAGGGGCTTCCATGCATTTTTGTCAATCAACTCTTACATAGTATTTTAAGATGTTATGTGATCTTAGAGCTATTTTACATTTTTAAATAAAAGAAAATGTCAAACATTTTTAAACACGAATGTTAAATGACTGCCAACTGCAGATGCAAATATATAGCTATGTCTGAGTGCTTTATGGGCATTGTGACATTAGAATTCTTGTCAAGTTGGAATTCAGAACTTACGTCTGTCTTTAGATACAGCTAAGACAAAAAATATTCCCTAGAGGTTTATTGGTTTTCCTTGGAAATGGAATGGGAATAGAAATGGGCACCTAAATTTCCAAGAATCCTGTTCCAATTAATTTTTGCAATAACTAAATATAGCTTAATGATTGTTTCAAAAACCATACTTGACAGAATTTCCTTGCATTAGACAGTTAAAGACCAAATTGATCGAAGACACAATTTACCCACTACATAAACTAATTTGATTCATTTATATGGTTCTCCATTGGGAATTTTGGTCCTTTCCAGAAGGAGGTTTTTGAAGGCCTCACAGTAAGTGTTTCGGGTTTGTGGGCAAGTGGGGAAACATACCCGGAAGACTGATTTGAAGCCGATCCCTTTCTTTCCAATGTATCCAGTGCCAGATCCTTTCTTAGTTGAATTTCCAACATCGCAAAGAGCTCTGACATTCTGAGAAGAGAATCCCCGCTCATTATTTAAAACAACAATACCTGATTCTTGAAGAATGAATGTTAGAGTTGGCTCCACACTTTCTGGATAGACATTATCATCAGCATTTTGGACCTGAAACAACAATTCAAATTGGATAAAGATCATAGCATCTGATAACACTGTAACCTCCAAATACAAATAATGCCTGGAAAACAAACGAACAACTGATGAATAATTGGTTCTTTTCCCCAGTAACTGAAACTGCAATTGATATAATCCGAGCTGGTAGTTACCAGCTATGAAGCACACATAATTTTAACTTCCACCCGGGCACTATCATCGTAACTATGAAATTTGTTTGGAAAACATTGCACGATTTATGAGTGTCTTTACTGATAAGTTTATCAGGACAGATTAAAAATCCAGATCCAAATGCAGAGAGAAAAAGAGAACTGTGTCATTAACAGTGTAAATGAAAGATCTTCAAGCTTCTAAAATCAGTGCAGCAGATAAAGAGGCAGATGATAAGATATTAGGGAAAAATAAATTATGAACCATATCTGATCAGTAAAATTGAATTTTCATCTAACAAGAATGTGAAATATACTGGCCTCATATATTGTTCAGGCAGTGGGTTCACTGATGCTATACAAGGGCCAATTCAGCTGTCACCAACTCACTTATAGTGAAACACAAAATTAAAAAGGAAAAGGGTTTTATGATGCAATAATTTAGTAAAGAATTACATCAAGCTCCCGTGCAGAATAACAGAATGGACAGAAAGGAAAGGAAGACAGCCCACTTACCAGCTCAAGAAGAAAATGAGAATCCTCAGAGTATAATTCCTGAGAAAGACAATGAAGTGCTCTGCCTAAGCGAGCATGTTGCTTTCTCAATATGTTGCTCTCTGTGCATGAAAGATTTGGATCCAAACCAAATTCATCTCTCCTGATAGATTCAATTACCAGGGCTGCCTCTGTCTGTTTGTTAAGCTCAGATGATTCTTCTGTGCAACCATTGCTAATTCCATCACTAGAAACTATTGCATGCTGCATTGTGAGACTTGTTTCATTTTTGTCTTTATTATGTGCATCTTCATTGTGAGCAATTTTTAACTCAATACCACAAGTATACACATCCACTGCATTTTGCAAATACCTTGAGCCTGTGCTTAACACAGACCCAGAAGGTTCCAAGTGTGCTGGCTCAGAAGATGTGGATATGTCAGCAGCATTATTTAAACAAAATTTGTGGTAATCATCAATCCACTCCACTATGCCAATGGATAATCCTATTTCATGCAGCATGATACGTTCTTTTTGGTTGCATTCACATAAAATGGCAGAAGGGGCATCTTTAGTTACAGATTGCATCCCAGAAAGTAACACACCTGCTGCAAAACCACAAAATTCTGAAGGGAGATAACCAAGACAATCGAGTATAAATCTTGAAGCAGCAGGAACCGTCTGATTCATTTGGATCAAATTTTTATGCAATTCACCACTTAAATTATTAGCAATCCCATCTACCAGTTTTCCCGGCAATGAACAATTATTATTGTCCTGGACTTCCACATTTTCCAAATGATTCTTCAAAATTGCATCAAATGCATGGCGAGCATAACATTTTAGAAGGGATGAAGGCACATGCTTTTCCCCCCCAGCCAGTGATAACAGGGATAACAGTTGAACTGCTGTTTGGAAAGATGATCTCTGAAGTGCAGCTTCTAAGAATGAATCTGCATTAGCAGACTGATCAATTCGAATCACCTTACCATCCTTTGAAACCAAACATAACAACTCTTGGGTATTCACTTCACTCAAGAGCCATCCCACAAGGGGACCGAGAGAGGGAGCAAATATGAGGTCCCAATGTGACCATAAGCTTAAATCAGATAGCATTGGTGCTCCAAGCAAAACTTCAATAGCATTCTTAGAGGTAGCAGACTCAAATGATGTCATTTTCTGGACACTGTCAGTTTTCATTGAAGTGCTTTCCACTACATGTTCTTCATTTGGGTCCCCAATGTGATTATTTCCTAGCAACGTTGCAGAAAACACAACACAGTTTGAGATCACATTACTCTTATAATTGCCCACATCACGTAAAAAGTCTTCCATTGAGCCATTTTCCATAATTTTAAAACTAAGAAGAGGAAATTGCTTTACAAGCAAAGCAGAAATCATCTGTTTGGAAATAGTTTCACCCTGCCACAAACTATTTGAAGCCTGCGATACTAATACAATCAACTCATGCTGGAGCAGGGAAGCCTCCAAAGGTGACTTTTCACATATGTTACCGACTAAGAGCTTCTGTATTTCACTAGGTAACAAAGAGGCATGTTTCTCTAGGAAAGTGAAAAAATCCCCATGACCCAGGGTCTTGAACTCCCCAATACCAAATTGGTCAACCAGCCAGAACTCGCAACTGCATAGCTTCTTCAAGGAAATAAATTTGTCCTCAAGAAGTGATTTTCCATTATGCTCAAAACTGTGATCAAGCTCGTAATACCTATTAATTTTTCTGAGAATTTCTTCAACTGTAACACCTGCTAGACCTATTAGTCAGTGAATGATAGATTGTTTCACAGCAAATTGTACACAAGAAAACAAGAATCTTGGAAAGAAACCATCACCACACTTACACAAAAGTTTCTTCATGATCTATTGACAAAAAAATTCATTTAGAAAAGAATAAATTTTGAATCAATCACACAGCATGGATCACTAAATCCTAATACCAAACCTTGTCCGTTCAAAAGCAGCCCGCGCAGTCTAGAACCATATCAAAGGGAATTAGCCTCTAAAAGAAAATGAGGGTGGTTCCTAAGCTTTTGACCCACCAAAACACTTGCAGTATGCTCTTCAGGGTAATACATAAAATGCAAACTGAGTGTCTTCTTGCTATATTCTGACAATAGCTAAGGTTTAACAATCAAGTCGTGGCTTTAGGTGAAGCGTGATAGTAAAAACTAGTCGCTCCCAAACGGCCAAATGATTTCACTTAGATCCCTCAAAAAAAAAAATTCTCACCCCCTTCACAAACTTATGCTACTTATAAAGAAAAACAAATAGTACAGGAAATACTGTAAAAGCAACCTTGAGTAAAAGTAATGTATTCCCGTAATGTGAATAAAGCTCCTTCATAAGTTCCCAATCCCTTTCCGGTCTTTCAGACCACCAATTCCCCAATAAATAAAACAACCAAAGCCATCCCAACAGTTCCTCTCTTAGGTGGATAAGACACAGAGGTCTCTAGCCCCAACAAGTCATGCCATTACCCATTCCCTGCCCAACCACCACCACCACCACCCCCCCCCCCTCATGCCTATTAAAACCCCATTCCCTGCAACCACCACACCACCAACGCCCCCCCCCAAAAAAAAAAAAAAAAAAAACCCCAAAAAAAAAAAAAAAGAAAAAAAAGAAAAAAGGACAACAACAGCCCAAACGAAGAAGTTTAAGAAAGTCTGTAACCAAAAAAAAAAAAAGAAAAAAAGAAAAGGACAACAACAGCCCAAACGAAGAAGTTTAAGAAGTCTGTTGACCAACTATTCTTTCTGCTATTTCATTTAAGTTTTCCACCAAAACTTCCCTAGATGCCGCTCTATAGTTATGATTGAACATAAAACTTATGTGATGAAGGCAACTACCACAGAAGCACCAATAGAGAAAGAAAAGCAAAACACAAATAAATGCAACTATAAAGCAGTAATTGCTTTTGCGAAAAGCATTACTCACTGTGTGTTTGCTCCGGACTATGGTCAGGGATGACTAGTGTGTGTTTTTCGTCCAGTTCAACCTCAATGCTTTCATATTCAGAAAGAGTGTTGGGAAGTTCGTGTTGGGTTAAAGCTTGGAAAGTATCATAGACGCTATCCAGTATTCCATATTTGATAGATGTCACCTGTAACATTCATGGAGAAACTTCATTCACAATTATAAATCTCAAATAGACATATCTAAGCAAATGAAAATTGGAAAAGTCAAACCCCCAAAAGATATGCAGCAACAAAGATGTTCAGCATCAAAAGCATAACTCTTACAGTCTCACTATTTGGAAATAATAAATAAATTAATTACTGTCAAGATATCAACCCTAGCAAAGGTTAAAGGACCATAAATTATCATATAACAAAAAAAGAAGAAACATCTAGCAATAGAAGCAAGTCTAATATGTCACATATTTGAAAAAGATCAAGAATTGATAACTACTGGTAAAATGAGGCACTGTGGAGCTGAAATTTGATTAAAGCACAAGTCCAGGATAAACAAAAGTGAAGGCAATAACAACGTATATCAAATAAAAGAAAATGTATGAAGCCTCTATCAGCAAATAAGCAGTACTTTCCAATATTTATCTTTTAGACAGACACAAATTTACTAAAAGATATCTTGAAAATTTCATTGCCAATTTCCATATTTTCTTACAAGAATACAACAATTAGTGTATAAGATTTAGGTTGAAAGAGAAAAAAGAAAGGCAGGGACAACAAATGAAATGCATGGCTGTGGTAAGACATTTTGGACATTAGGTAAAAGAAAGACACCCATCGCACATGGATATACTCTCCGTCTTAATTGGCAGGTTGCTGCGAATCATCAATTGGTTACTGTGGAAACAAAATTCTAACACCTCAAATGGAGTATGAATCCAAATTATTTTCTATTGATTACTTTTCCCATAACACATCAAGTAAAATATAATTTCAATCTTCAAAAATTAGTTCCACTAGGATATCTTCACCGATAGTGCTACATTGTTCAGTAAAATCTTCAGGTCTTTTTCTTGTAGCCAACCAAAACCCCATATTAACATGTCCAACATGCTAGCATAGGATTACTAAATGCTTTGGTAGTTTGGTTGGAAGGAGAGACATTCAGAAGGAAAGATAGGCTATAGAGTAAAGGAAGCATGAACAATTATTCATGCTCCTCATTGTATTGATACAAGGGCCAGTTGGACAGAAACTCATGTAATTGTGGTTTCATGTTTTAAGTAAAACTGAAAATATAAATCTTCTCTCTCCAATCCCTCCAATTTGGATTTGGATGCAAACAATCTTCTTTCATCTTTCCTACTAAGAGGTCCCCCAAGCAAACAAAGAGCGGTCTTCCCTCTGATCTCTACTCTTCTGTTTCCTTTCTTCCCCTTTTTCATCTGGACAAAGGGGATAAGTTACCAGGCCAATCAAGCACGAGCAGATTGGACAAGATTTAAGGCATATTTAACACCTACTTAACCAAGTCAATCAAACAATCACACTAATCACTTATTCTACAGGTGTCAGGCATATGTCAATCTGTTCCAATAATCAGTAATACAAAAGAACCAAAGAAGTGATTAGCAATTCCAAAGAAGTCAATCAAGAAGCAATGGCACAAGTACGTCAATCAAAAATTACTTCTAGAGTTGGGATGTATAGGAAAAGATGCGAGGCTAAAGTGGAAACATACCCATACAAGTCAGCATTTCAATTTAGCCAGTAAAATAATAGGAGGAAAAAAATATATATTAGTGGTAGTAGTATCTTCATTATGAAAACAGTATGCACGTTACTATAATAATTAAATCCACCACAATTTTACTTACTGCAATATTGATTAATCCAATACATGGGTAAGAATAAAATATCCTTTTGATTTTTTTCCTTTTTCCAGCAGCCTTCTTAGTATCGCCGGGTTTATAAAACTTGAGCATTCTCTCGAAAACCTACAAGCACAAAAGGAGAGCAGGTGAGGAACATATTCATATTCCAATAACAAATAAATAAAAATAAATAAATCCTGTAATGTACCATCCAGATAAGCTATCACTATCTGGAAATGGAATACTTATTATTGCTGATATAACTCATACAAAGTCAAACAAACAGGCAAACATTCCCTGTGTCCTTGCCATTTTCAAATTACCTCAGGAACAGTACACTCCTTGCATGTGTCCTTCCAGGTTGTGATAAACATTCTCATGGAGTTATCAGATAATATAAAATCAGATTCATTATTCTCCAGAGTCTTATCACCATTTTCAATTGGATGAATACAGTGTTTCCCTGTGTCTCCTTTAAGCAATTTGGAGGGTGCAGAGGCATTGCCACTTAGAGCTTCAATTTTTCTTTTCATTTTTAGTGACCCATTATTCTTTTTGAGCCTTGAGCCGCAACTAACAGGAGAAGATTGCCCACCTGCCTCACTTTTCAAACCTAGCCGCGACATTTCTTCAGTTGCAGATGGATAAGGACAGCTACTCACCCTATCAGTACTACAAAAATTTTGTAATGATAAGTGGCTCCCCTCATCACTGCTGGTCGTTTTATCTTCATTTTTACTATCATCACTTTGTCCTTCCTCATCCTCTGAGTCCAATGAATCAAATCTTATGTGCTTTCCACGGAAATCCTTGTGCACTGAGGCAAAAGATTCAATACGCTCAGATATGGCAGAAAAACGTTCATCCAGATCCTTTTTCTGTGAGGTAAAAAGAGGACGTTGCCGGCGTTTATTACAAGATCCCTTTGCTAACATCTTGGCTTCAGATTTTCTATTAATTATCTTTAGACATTTCTTTAGAGTTGTATATTTGGATCTCCTGGCTTCCCTGATAAAAGAAATATGCATTCTGCACCAATAGAAGATAGCCAAAAAAAAAAAAAAAGAAATAACGTTTATTTACAAGATCCTCTTTGCTAAACATCTTGGGCTTCAGATTTTTCCCTATTAATTATCTTTATGAATTACTTTAGAGTTTGTATTTTGGAATCTTCCTGGCTTCCTGATAAAAGAAATATGCATTCTGCACCAATAGAAGGAATAAGCCAAAAAAACAAAAAAGAAAATTTAGATGTCACGCAAAATAATCAAAGAAGGAACAAAAAAAAAAAAAAAGAAATTAGATGTCACCAAAATAATCAGAAGGATAACTGTACATAGACGAGGAAATATTTCCTCAAATCAAAATACAACCAAATGCACTTCCAGTAGTAACAAAATGGAAAACTCCAAATTCATGCTGACAAACTCTAATGTAAGATTAAGAAAGCAATAAAACTTTTATCATCACAGGGTCCTCAAAAAATGCAACAAAACTTGATTGCATAAATTAAAAAAAGAACTTGCGAAAAAAACAATTATTGGATACATAATACCAAAGAAAATATTCAGTAAATAGAATGCATCATTAGAAAGAGAAACAGTGTAAATTGATCATAATTCATCAGCACACACCCTAAGCCTTGAATACGCACTCCAAGATTTTCCTTTCCCTTGACGGATCGCTTCTTCGCAGTGAATTGAAGAAAATCATCAATATTAATTTCATGGTCTTTAGAACTACTCATATATTCATGAAGAGTCAGAATAATCTCTTCAGTAGTTATCTTGAATACTTCGGTTGCATTAGGATTCACTAGAAAATAATGCAAGATTAGTGGATGCCGCAGCAAAGGGCCCAACCCCAGTTCTTCAAATTGCTCAATACCCTCATGCTCACATATTGCCACCTCCAAATCATACAATGATGTAATTCTCCGGACCGCGACAAAGCAATGAATAAATGCATTAATCTGAAATGCCAAAGGCAAAAGGCAAGTTAGTAATTGGAACATGTTCAGAAAACTTCAGAAGTTAGATACATCAATTTGTTCGTAAGAATATAGAGAACAGAAAAGATCATATAATAAACCATGGCATTGACAAGAAGAAAATGAAAAGTCAGCTCAACCAAGTCAAATAAGCTTACAAATCAGTGAAATCTTTAAAGAAAGGTCATGTGGCCACAAAGTTTTTCACATTTTGTATAAAAACAAAATAAACTGCAAAATCCTGAATGACTCAATCCACCATTTTAAGCAAATAGATTCCTTCCTCTCTCCCTCCCTTTGTTGTTCGCGTAATTCATACTTCGTTCATATTGTTTTCAAACAAGAAAAACAACCAAGCCCAACCAAACCCAAACATGAAAGCAAGAGATGAAGCTCTAACTTTGTAATTTTCCTTCTTTTGTGAATATTCTAATAAAACACAGGCCAGAATTCAAAGAAAAAAGATATCCAAAACAGAATGGGAAAAAAGAAATTCACATCGCAGAACTTAAGAGCTGCAAAGCCTTAACCATAATGCATTTCTCTGCTACCCTAATTCAGACTCTCGGCAGCGCAATTGAACAAACATTCATTTTCACTTTCTAAATGGCTATGCTCTTGCTCATTCAATAGAACAGCGGATGGACATTGCAGCTTTTTTTTTTTTTTTTTTTAAATTTTTTTTTTTTTTTTAAATAATCAATAAAACAGTTAAAGAAATCATAGCTAAGATTACTGCACGAAGCAAAACAAAAAAATTAAAAACGCTTCTCCTCAATTACATTCAATTTAAAAGTGATATAAAACAGAAATAAATATCCTTTTCTTTTCTTAAAAGGGAAAACTTTGAAAAAATACGCGATGTTTTGCTTAAAACTACCTTCCCTTCAACGAGTATAAGCCGGTGAAGCGATGAAACTTCCTGCATATCGAATGCCAATGAGCCCCGAGCGACTCCACCTGCAAAAACGGTTAAGAGGGCCGCCTGCGACACTTTCCAATGTTTTCAACAGCCCTCGCTGGCAGCAAAAAGAAAATCCTGCCAAGGCTTTTTCCACTTGCTTGATCAACTCTTTTTCAAGTCTTCTTTTATGCTGTTGTTTAAACTGTAGTTTGGAATATGACGAAGGCATAAGATATGCAACAAGCTGAAAACGTTGTTTTTTTGTTCACGGGTGGCCCCATTTTCATATTTTGTAGGAGGCAAAGTTTCATTTTCTGAGGTTGTTTTTGGTTTTGCTTTTGAGCCAAATTTCCTGTTTCCTTCCCCAGCTGAATCATCAACTCCATCAGCATGTTCTTTCCTCTTAGGAATTTGAGAAGTAGGAATTGTTTGAAATGAGGAACTTGGGATTTGGGAGAGAGAAGCTTGTTTGATGGTTGCTGCTGAGCTGAAGTAAAAGGTGTAGATATTGCTGCTGAGGAAGGTAGTAAGAGTTGCAGGTGTTGTTGAGCTAAACCATTGGGGAATTGCTGGAGGAAGAAGATGATAAAAGAATTTGGATGGGAAGTTAGGTTTTGAAAACCAGGGAAGTAGTTAATTGAGGTTTTGCTGGGGAGAAGAAGGCCTTGAAGCAGAGCGTTGGCCAGGCTTTTGGTGATAAAAGTTTTGCATTTTGAGGCAGGGGGCAAAATTGTGTCTACATATTGAGGAGGTGGCTGTTGTGGCGGTTGTTGGCCACCGGGTAGACCGCCCAAGGCTTCCTTTTGCGGTAGCCGTAGCCGTAGCGTAGCCGTAGCCGCCCGCTCCGGCCTCCTGGACGAGAGAGGACGTGCCCTTGCATTGGAAGGCAAAGAAAACAAACGGATGTGACTGTAAGGAAAAGGCATAAGGAACGGCGCTTTTTGAGTATTTATACGGTTAAGTTAGATTAGGGATTTTCAGCTAAGTGAGCGGGAGTGGGCCAAAGCCTCAGCTGAATGCAGTACATATTCTATACGACACAGTCGTTTTTTAAATGGAACTCTGTTAGGCTTTTAAGCCGACAATTCTCATTTCCTGTTTATAATTCCCTTTGAACAAGTCGTTTATGCAAACAGCAATTATCGTCAATTTTGGCATTTTTTTAAGTAAGTCTAGATACATTATTCCAGACAACAGCCAGCTTTTCTGTGACCCAGATTCTAGTAAGAAGTAAGTATTACATTCCTGTCAAATCGGTTCTACAACACTAGAAATTGTTAACTGTTACGGAAGAGTAACTTTCAGATACTGCTCATAATTTGGAAATATAAATACAAAAATATAAAAAGAAGTAGTTAGAGTAAATATTAAATACGTAAATTAAGGGGACAAAGTATAATGTATGTTACTATTTTATGTACCAATGATCAGAGTTCAATCCAGCCATAGCTAAAGCTAGCGAACTGTCAACTTGTTAGGAAATGTAAAAAAATAAATATTGTCAATCAGATTTTAAAAAATTTTAATTTACACGTTATAAAAAAGAAAATTTTATCCTCAAAACAAGAAATGAAAGTGTGGAAAACATTATTGATGACAGACAGTAAGACATCAGAAATCTTTGAGTTAAGCAATAAACCCAGTGAATTTAATGATAACTATCATCAAAGAAACAATCCTTTAAGTCAGGTGGAAGAAATAAAGGTAAGTGGACAGGATTCAAGTAAAAATTACTTACTTCCCACGACTTGGATTATAAAAATCTATTAAGTTTTTCTCCGCAGTGGAAAAATGGATATGCTAAAATTGAGAAATTAAACCAAGAAAATGAAACAATGAATACTAAAAGGCTATGCTGAAATGATTTTGATTTTTAGACCGGCAACAGCAGTGTAAATATTATATGAAAGAAAAAGTTGGTAGTAAATTCCAAAAATATCCGACTGCCGGATTCGAAACCGCGACCTAAAAGGATCAAAGCTGTGTGCTTAACTCGACTACAGTCTCTGTCTCTACCAACTGAGCTAAGGTCGGAATTAGAAGTGTAATTCTCTCTATGAAAATATAAAAATGAAAATATTGCATCTCAATATTAAAATAGTCCCTCCTTGTCAATATGAAATATGAATGAGTAGCGAACGAATGAAAACACGGACTAGGAGAAACTACTATTAATGAAGAAGAATGAAATGAAGTGAGCATAAAACACAATTGAAAACGTGAAAAAATGAAAAATAAAATAAAATTTTAAAAGCAATTGGGATTTTAAAATGAAATATTATAGTCGTGACACGTTTTTTCTTAATTCTTTTTTTTTTTTTCACTACATTTAATAGTTTATTTTGATTTCAATCGAAATTGAAAATGGTTTATGAAAAGAATATAAAGTCCTAAAATCTTAAATGCCAGTTTATCTTTAAAAAAAAAAAAAAAAAAAAAAAACTAAAAATACAATTCAATTGAATTAATTAACATATTTTTGAAAATATATATATATATATATATATATATGTTAATATTTTAATATGATATATATTTATCATTTTAATATGAAATTAAAGTTATTAAAATGTAAGAAAATATCTGAAAAAAAGTTACTTGTAAACCAAAAAGAAATTATAATCCGAGAACCGCACCCTATTTCCAATTTCAGAACTAATTAAACAGGATATTATAAGGACCTCCATTCTGAACAATAATTAGGTAATAAGGTTAGTGGCTAATTTGGTCCTGGTGGCAGTTTTCTTGATATTCTGTACATTTCTTTATTAGAAAAGAACATAGTTAAGTTACTGGTTTTGGGAATGAACTAAGATTTCCTCTGCCAATTCTTTTGCTAACTTATCAAATCTATCATCTAGTCCACCTGCAAAGCTATAGGCTTGAAATGCGAACTGAAAAACCCTCCACAGCATTTTAACGCTTTCTTTCATTTTCTGATCAATTCTTCTTGTCTCTCCGATCCCTTTTGCTTCTGCTTCTCTTCTCTCCTGGAAGAGAAGCAACACTTGTACTATAAGAATCAAGTAATCAACTATACTGAACGGTTTATACAGTTCCCTCTTCATTGAAAATGTAACTGAGCTTACCTTTAGTGCTGATTCCATGAAGTCAGAGGAAAGATCCACCATTGATTCTTTTACCCTTGTAATCATAAGGAAGTCGAAAATAATATCATGGTTCTTGAAATTTTTGGATTCCTCATCCTTATTCCGTTCAATTGCATCCATTTCTTCTCTGACCTTGATGATTGAGACAAATAAGTATTTGTTAAGATATGTTGTGAAGAGGAGTGAAATGCTTATTCAAATTTGGACCTAAATTTACCTTTCTGAAATAGCACTCGAACTTATCTATTAGCTTTACCAAGGGAGGCACTATCTCCCAGTTCTTCAATGTAGTGACCATGGTGTCTAATTTTGAGTACAGTGTAGCAGCTGTTCTTAATGTTTCTAGTTTCTTTGTGGGAAAACCTTCAAACTTCACTAGCACCTGCAACTCAGAGACTTGATGATTGATCTTCATGGTCAAGACTAGAGTAAACTGAATAAGCTGCATGCTCTACTTACCTGCGATTCATCAATTAAGACTGCAAGGATGGATTCGACGTTGTTTCGAAACTTGAGCAGCTTTACCATGTCGTTCGTTTGAAAAGAATTGATGGCTACCTTCAACTCGAGGATTGGTTTTGCATACTTCTGAATATCTTCTTCAATTTGTTGAAAGTATGTTGATCTAAACTATAAGAAAGGGAAAGAAAGAAAATCATTATTATCAGTTAATGTGCAGTTTATTGCAGAATATTTTCCCAGGGTTGAAGTATAAATGGAAGCAAACCTCTTCGTCAATTCTGCTAGCGAAGCAGCAAATCCTTCCTTTCCACCACTAGAACCTCCAAGCTGTGTCTTTCGCTTATTAGCTGATTTAACAGGCAAGTTAGATCCTTCCATCTTGTCCTTGAGTTTCCTAAACAGACTGGGCATCTGGGTGGATCTCTTCAATTTCGAAGTGCCTTTTCTTTGAAACAGGGATTTACCAGCACCAGGAGGAGGTGGTGGATGCGCTGCAGGACCCTTTTTGAGAGGCATTGCAGTTGGTTTTGATCCTTTTGCAGACATGAGAGGTGGCGGCGGCGGTAGTGGTGGTTTTGGTTGAACCAACTTCGCTGGAACATTGGTTGGTGATGGATCTTTTTCATCTGTACGGAAGATTTGTGTGTTTTTACTTGTCCTGGGATCATATTCAATTATGCCAGTTTCTGTTCCCATCTCTTCTTTACTCTGCGGCTTCAGATTCTTCATAGTTTCATTCTTTTCTTCCAAGGGGTCAGAGTTTTGACAAACCTGAACTCCAGAGGACACAGGAGCAGGCGGAGTCTTGGAAAGATTTGGAGATGCAACTCCACTAAAAGAATCATTTCTAGGAACAGGAGAAATAGCTTTCTCACTTTGCCTGGAACAGAACTCTGTTTCTGTTGATTTAACAGTTGGTTGAACATAATCTTCTTTTAACACTTCATCTTCCAGCAAATCAAATAGTTCTGTTGCTGCCTTAATCACATAATCCAGTGTTGCAAACATTATATCAACTTCAAGAAAGTGAACATTTATAGTAAGCTTCAATTAACAGAGAGGAATGAATTGGATAAATTAGAGCTTTAGAGAAAGATATTTCTTACCAATTTGCTCCACATTGGTACTTTCTAATTTGTCAATTTTATCATATCCATATTTGGCCATCCACCCGGGACTTAGTCTCCATTTCTCTCTGATAGATTTCAATTCCTCGAAGAAATACTTCACTTTCTGAAAGACATCATATGGCAATTACTGACGATCATATAAACAAGCTTCATTCGCTAATAATCAAAAAATTGACAGGTGAAAGTGAACCTTATCTACAGTGAACTCTTTCATATCTGAAGTGGGTATGTTTGGCAAGGCTTCTGGGTACAACTTGTGGAGGTCCTCCATCCCAGTTATTAACTGCAAGAAAATTGAAGTCAAAATTTCTGGAAAACACCAGCCATGGACAAAACTTCATGGGAGTTCTGTTCTGATACCTGTCAAGCCAAAGAAGAAGTGACTTTGGCTTTTCACTTGTGTGACAAGATGAGTAAGGTCAGCGATGAAGCAAGGCCAAGATAACTAGCTAACTTGCTATTCGTTGTCTCTGTCATATGCAGAGGCTATGTGAAAGGAAAGGTGCAAATATAGAAATGTCGAGTTTGGAAAGAAAAAGAAGGCAAGGCGTAGGAGTTAAGTAAGAGAGAGTTGTCAATGACTTTTTTTTTTGAAAATACTTTTTATTTCTGTTCATCTTTCCATTCATATATCAAACCAATAAAATTAAAAATTTTTTAAAAAATATTATTATTTTATTTTCATTTTTTAAGAAAAATTTTTAATTTCATCGTTTTGGTTCATAAATACTATCATGAATCATTTAGATAAATTTTTCCCAACATTAATATTTTGAATCAAAATAACACGCATAACAATTAATTAGATTTGCGTAAAAGTCAAGTGATGATAGTGATATGATATGACATATTCAAGATTGAAATTTCACATTACATTTGGTCAAATGAATAAACAATTTACTTAATGTACATTTCGTCTAATTTATTGTTATTTTCTTTTTTTTATTTTTAATAAAAAAAATTTTAAAAATTATTTTTGACAAAAGGTTTTTTTAATCAATTTTATTCAACTGATCATTTTAATAGAACCTAATTTATTTAATTCTAAAATAGGTCAAAAAAATATGAGTTTTTTTTTTTTTAAGTATTTCCATTCCTATTAATAATTTGATGAAAGATTAATACATTGTTAATTTACATAAAAATGGACTGTTGTTAATTGAAATTGAGTGTATACTTATTTTCTTTTGAAAAATTTTCTATTATTTTTTGTAATAGTGACTAATAACATTAAGGGTAAAAAATTCACGCTTAAAAAGCATAAAATAAAAAATATAAGAAAATTTTTTTGTAAATTAATTTTTTATTGTTCATAGAATTTTAATAGTCCACTTTTATATGTGCATTATGTATTTCTTATTTAATAATTAACAAAAAATTTTACTACCCAAAAATAATTCTAAGAGAAAGATGATTTTTATTTTGGAATAAAAGAAATATTTTTATTAGTAAATTAAAAATTTTAATTTAAAAAAAAATTGATATTATAATTTACAACTAAATAATAAAAAATAACTGATTTGAAAAGCATGTTTGAAAGGTACGTAAAAAACAAACCAAGACCAATGTTTAACTCTTTTTCTCTGTTTATTATTTTTAAGAAAGAAAAAATGCGTATGAATAATATGATCCTGACCCGACAGCCCAAAACACCCACCGCCAAACCCGAACCCCAAGTCCCAATCATCACACGCTCAATTCTCGAATTTACTGAGAAGCTAGCACTAATAAAACTCAGTACTGCGACTGTTTAGTGTTTCTTTGACATTCTGACATTTTGATTACGATACAGAAATAAATAAAAAAACATTTCCGCGGTGAAATTCATCAGCCAATAATAATATTATAGATCTCCAATTTCTACTTTGCTCCAGAAAATGAGAAGGTACGAAACATTTTCCCGGAAAATCTCTCTTTCCGATGGAAACAAACGGAGGTTTATCATTTCTTTTATTTTTTTCTTGAATTCTTACTTTTATTTTTGTTACATTCTTTGGTTGTATTGACGATATTGTTCGTTTACGCGTTTGCTAAAAGGCCAGGGCACCACAGGCTGCATCCGAAGCAAGGAGTAGGAGGCGTGAAGGGAATGCTCGCGAAGCTATCGCTTGTTGTCATTGTTCTCTTGATCTGTACGCTGTCCATGCTGTTCTCGTCTACGATTAATGGAAGCAGCGGATCTACTGGTCCATCGGAGGTTAGTTTGAGCTGGATTTGGAAGTTAGTTGTGATTGCTTTTAAATTTTATGTTACGGTTTGGTGCATAAGAATGTAGGAAAGTTGTCTTGGAATTTATGGAGAATCTCAAGTAGTATGGTTATGGAAAATTGACTTGCAGCTAAATAGAATGGTAGTACTTGCTAGATCATGTTAGATCAAATTCTGAACGGATTTGTCTTTGATTGCTTCTATGATATTGCAGACTAATTATGAAAGAATTACTGTATATAGGACTTAGTGTATTTCCTACTTGCCTTTCTATATAGATAACTAGGTGATGCTTGTATTAATTGTGAGTTACATTTATGTAAGGTAATTTGTTTAAATGCAATTTACTATAGTGTTTATGCATATAGATATTATGTTACTGCTTAGTTGATCTAGCCTTTTCATTGCCTGTGCCTTTGGTTTGGTTGCTTACTAGTTTCATAATTCTCCAATCTGAATATTCATTCTTCTGCCTTGTTCAAGTAGATTAATGTTGAAGAACTTTGGGAAAATGCTAATTCAGGTGGCTGGAGGCCATCATCAGCACCAAGATCTGATTGGCCTCGTATGTAGTCCCTGTTTTCTCAAAGATAGACTTTAGATATTGGAGAACTCATGATTGCATAATTTATGTTTTGTTCTATTTTTGCGGCAGCTCCTCCGAAAGAGACCAATGGGTATCTGCGTGTTCGCTGTAATGGTGGTTTGAATCAGCAACGAAGTGCGGTTTGTATTCTATTCTTAAAACCTGCTTTGTATTTCCACATTCTCCCCTTATAGCTTTCTCTTGCAAAATTTTATTTGGTGCAAACATGGACACATTTCCTCTGTTTTTTCCAGTATGTCAGTCAGCAAAATTTTGAAGCCAAATACATTCATTTATTCTGATAAATGAAGATTTAAAGAGTCCTGCAGTGCTTTTACCACCATACTAGATTGAGTCAAGATAAATGTGGCCAAGTTCAGGAGGGTGTCATAATGATTACTATTTTCAATGGATTTACTTGAAAATAATTAATATACAATACTTTCGATGTTACAGATTTGTAACGCTGTCCTTGCTGCTAGAATCATGAATGCAACACTTGTGTTGCCGGAGTTGGATGCTAACTCTTTCTGGCATGATGACAGGTTCCTGTTTCTAGCGTGTGAATTCTTCAAATTTCTGATTTATGTTTATCTGTTAATGAAGTATTTTAGCACTTCTTTTTTCCTACTAAATATGTTAAGTGAAATCATTAATTGAGAATTTTTTTTATGGGACCTGGTAGACATTAGTGAATTTAGATAATTGTTTTATTGCAAATTCCTAGTTATTGTACTGAATAGTTAAGATTCTTCTTTTCTATATGATGACTGGATAAGGTAGCATTTGGAGGACATTATCTTTTCCTTGGTTTTTTCTTTCAGCATTATACTAAACAGAATGTGACTGGGATGATAAACCATCATATTACATAGTGGTGATAGAAGTTTATTTAGAGCTAGTGATTGCAATTTTTTCTTTATTTGCAGAACTTGTGTGAGAACGTTAAAATTGTCTGTTCCATTCTTCATTGGAGTAGGATTTGAATACCACCTTTTTTCTGCAAGACTCCATTAAATTCATATGTGAGATTCTTGAAAAGCCTGACGTTGACAATAGCATATCACGTTTATTGGCAGTTTTGGTCTTACAGAATTGATAGCATTTAAAGCCTTCCTGTAATTATCACCTGTATTTTACATGGAATCAGATTCTATTTCAGAAAAAATTTGTTTCCTGCATCGTGATCATATATAATGGTGGTCATCAAACAGTATTTTATTCTGGGAATCATTTGGATCTATTTGGATTGGATTCGTAACTACTAATGATTTTCTTATTTTGATGTTGTTGATGTTTGAGGGTTTTTTTTTTTTTTTTTTTTTTTTTTTTTTTTTTTTTTTTTTTTTTTTTATATATTTTTTTTTTTTTTTTTTTTTTTTTTTTTTTTTTTTTTTTTTTTTTTGGCTCCTTGATCTTTTAGAGCTTTCAAAGCGTTCATTGATAACCTTGTACAATCTAAAGTAGTTAGCCACTGTTCTTGAATCCATTTTACCCTGCATCTAATATGACATTTAATGAAATTCTATTTTTCAAGGATTTGGATAGATCTATTTCTGTCAATTCCACTTTATTAATTTTGACATGATATTCTAGTGTACGACATAGGATTGAAGCATATTATCTTTTTCTGTGCACAGTGGCTTCCATGGCATTTATGATGTTGAGCATTTTATCCAATCACTGAGGTATGATGTACGTATTGTGGAAAGTATACCTGAAATTCGTAAAAATGGGAAAACCAAGAAGCTAAAGGCTTTTCAGGTAGAAAATTTGCAAACTATTTCATCTTACCTATGAAATTAAGGAAATCAGATATTTTAAGCTTTATGAGTGCTTCTTGAATTACTAACTTGTCCTTCTCTTTTTAAATTTTCCTTCCTGCCTCAGCTGCGGCCTCCCAGAGATGCTCCTATCAGTTGGTATACAACTGTTGCTTTGGAGAAGATGAAGCAACATGGAGCCATTTACCTAACTCCCTTTTCACATCGCTTAGCTGAAGAAATTGACAATGGCGAGTACCAGCGACTGAGGTGCAGGGTTAACTACCATGCCCTCAGATTTAAGCCAAATATCATGAAGCTAAGTGAATCTATAGTTGATAAATTGCGTGCACAAGGTCACTTCATGGCAATACATCTTCGTTTCGAGATGGATATGCTTGCATTTGCTGGGTAAGATAATCAATCGATTATTTGTTGAAAATTAATGGGCATGAGCACGTTGAAAAGGCTGGTCAAAACTATGTATCTTATCGAGTAATTAAACAAGGTTTTTGAGTTTTACTTCAGGCGTATTCTTCAATGCAGAATTCCCTGAAGCATTGAAAGGGGCACCTTTTTTTCTCTTAGGGAGAGAGGGGGGGGGTCGTTTTTTTCTTCTTAGGGAAGAAGGGGGGGGGGGGGTTGGCATTGGGAAAGTTAGGTTTAGGACTAGCTCTGTAACGTTTTGATGCTATCATACGTCGGCAAACCACAAATCTGAGGTCTCTGTAATGTCGCGGGGGGGGGGGGGGTTGGCATGGGAAAGTTAGGTTAGGAACTAGCTCTGTAACGTATGCTTCAGTGCATCCACATCTGAGGCTCTGTATGTCAGCAAACAATTTTTGTGGGTGCAGATGGGAGAGGAAGTTCTAGTATATAATGGATTATTTAAATATTCATGCATTACTTAAAAATTAGTGCAGTCCCTTTTTCCAATGGATTGTTGTTGCAGCCCATATCTCTGAGACTTGGATTGAATGATCTATAACATGCAGATGATTGACCTTTTTCATGGAGTTTCGAAGTTGTTAAACTAAATAAAAAGGAACTTTTATAGTTCTCTTTGCTAGTTATACGTATTTCACATATCTCGGGCATTTAAAAAAGCCCCTCCATAAATTATTGGGTGGGCAGATGTATGGTCTGTTTCTTTGTAATTAAGTTACCTTTTCCTTTTTCTTTTGTTTACTTTGTTATTTAAACCATCTAATTATACTTCTTGGTAATCTTGCCCAAAAGAAATTATGAAGTTTTTTGTGTGAAAAATTGTCTGGTCATTCTTCTGTTGAACTGTTTTAACTTATCTAAATGGCTCAATTGAGTACTTTTTCCTTCTGATTGGACATTTTACAACTCACTTGAATGATTATCCATCTTTAACCGCCAATCATGGATTGGGAATTCCTATGATTCATTGTAATGCTTTCCAAATATTGTTGAAGGTGTAGAAGAAAATGATGATATTCCAATTGATAGAATGTGAATTTGTTTCAGGTGCTATGACATATTTAATCCTGCAGAGCAAAAAATATTGAAGAAGTATCGCAAGGAGAATTTTGCTGAGAAAAGACTTGTTTATAGTGAAAGGAGGGCCATTGGAAAATGCCCTTTAACTCCAGAAGAGGTAAACTCTTTTGTTTCAACACCATGTATGTATGTTTTTTCTTTTTTGTGATTTTGGCGATTAGTTCTTCAAGCTCAGAAATATTGTTATATACTGTTGGTTGATATCTGATTGCCAGTTTATGGCAATCTCTTGTTTTATTTTGCTGATTATCTTGGAATAGTATTCAAAAAGATGCTCATGACATCTATTCTAATGTTGTTGTTATTCTTCTTACTACAGGTTGGACTTATCTTACGTGCAATGGGGTTTGACAATTCCACCCGGATATATCTAGCAGCTGGTGAACTGTTTGGTGGGGAGCGATTTATGAAACCATTTAGAGCCCTATTCCCTCGCCTTGAGAATCATAGTTCCGTTGAAGCCATGGAAGAGCTAGCCACAAACACCCGTGGATTGTTAGGATCTGCTGTGGATTACATGGTTTGTCTCCTTGCTGACATTTTTATGCCTACATATGATGGACCAAGCAATTTTGCGAACAATCTCCTGGGTCACCGCCTCTATTATGGCTTCCGTACTATAATTAGACCTGACAGGAAAGCTCTTGCCCCAATTTTTATTGATCGAGAGAATGGACGGACAAACAGTTTTGAAGAAGCTGTTAGGCGTATTATGCTCAAAACAAGCTTCGGTGGTCCTCACAAACGAGTTACACCTGAATCATTTTATACAAATTCTTGGCCTGAATGTTTCTGTCAAACAGAAGCAAAAAATCCTGCTCATAAATGCCCGCCAGAGAACATTTTGCAAATTTTAGATAGCCAGTTAGAAAGTGAAGTGACCAGTGATTCAGAATCCTTTGACAAATCGAATTCAACAGTGTCTTTGGCAAAAAGATAAATATGTGCTTTTAGTAGTTTGTTGTTGTCTCCCCAGTAAAAACACTATACGCCAAATTGGAGGAAGGGATCTTTGCAACCATATTCAGTATCTCAGGTAGTCTTCGTGTCTCATAATCATATACTTTGCCATGCTGAAGTATCTCAGTTACACATTGAAAGTATTCAGAATGCTAATTTTAGATAGTGCTTTATCAATTGAGAAGACGAACATGCTTTATAGTTTTGCATTGACATTATGGGTATCAACAACGGTAAGGATTCAGATGGAGATAGCAAAGAGTGAGATTTGAAAAAACTTGGTTCACTAGCATAGTAAGAATGCTATGGAGAAGCATAAAAGATCTAGCAATTTGAATGCGTTATAAGTGAATATTCAATTATTCAAAGAGAGGATAGACAGGAACTGAAATTTTGTTATTTTGTCAACTACAAAGATAATTTCCGTTGTGGGTGTTATTAAAAAAATGGAAATACTGGATATTGATAATGTCGGAGATTTTTGTATGGTAGGGTAAGATGTTCTGCAATTTTCCTTTTCATGAGGGGGTGGGATAGCTGTTCAAACAATGCCATCTTGTGCAATTTTTTCTTCTAATTTGTTCTATATCCACTTTCTATACATAGGATTATATTATTTGCTTCTAATCATTCATGGTTGTTTGTTTTGGTTTCTAATGTTCTTAAATTCATGTGTTGTTGAATCATAATATTATGTTTCTACCTTTATAAAGATTAGGAGTATGTGTTGAGAAGCCAGCTTACTCTTCCCATTGTATTTCCTGACCATTTTTGAGTTTCTGCTATCACTGGTAATAAGCGTGGGAAGAAATAATGGGAAAGTACCAAGGATTATATCTTTCCTTTTTTCTCTCTTTTTTTTTCCATTATTATTTTCATAAATGCGTCTTCTATATTAAGTTTCCTAATTGTTCTCAAAAAAAGAATAAGTTTCTTTACAGTATTCCTTTTTCAATTCTGGAGATAAAATGTATTTGTTGAGTTTTTAAAAAATATTGTTTCATGATATGAGGAAATTAGTCCATAATTTTACTTTTATTTTTAGAATAATTAGCTTTTGCTGACGCATGGAAATTCTGCCGGATGATGCAGGTTCAAGCTACTGGGTTTTGGGATGCGCTATTTCACCAGAGGGTATTGTTTTCTGCCAAAGCACTAGTCAGAGCACAACGCTGAAGAGAGATTTTTTTTTTTTTTTTTTTTCAGAGATTTTTTTTTTTTTTTTTTCGCCTGGTATTAAATTTGTCCATCGTGATTCTGATCACATTGTACAACTGAAATGACACAGAAAACTATCTGGATGCAAGTTACATCCTCAATTGCCCTATAAAGAAAAATTTTTTTTTTTTTTTTTTTTCGCCTGTATTAAATTTGTCCATCGTGATTCTGATTCACATTGTACAACTGAAATGACACGAAAAATATCTGATGCAAGTTACATCCTCATTGCTATAAAGAAAAATAGTGTATGACCATACTGTAGAAGACATCTGATTATGTTGATTATAGCTTATTTTTATGATCATATCTCCGATTTCCATATTTCAGTATTCTACGTAATTGATCAGCTTAAAATTTGTTGACCAAAATATCCAAAAATGAGCTAAACTGCTAAAGGTGCCTCAGCGCTTTCACATCGTGCCTGAGCCTGAGATATATTGAGGTATTTGCTCTTACTGGTCCTAATGGCAACGAATATTCCTTTGAAGAAAGAAAACCTGAAATTGACATTCTCACTTAACTTAGTAGATTCTGTGGCAAAACCTTCTTTGTACAACACTGCCAGTATTGACAGCTAAAAGAGAGACTAGGCCATTCACCAAAAGTATCCAATAAAAAACTCATTTTCTGTGTACAAGTATCTTGTGCCAACGAATACAAAACCTACAAATAACTAAAATACAAAAACAGTTAATTGACCAGTGACCACCGCCACCTCAACCTAGAATAGAGAAAGGTGGAAAAAGGAAATGAAATGCCTAACTCCATTAAGATGCATTCAAGGTAAAATGAAACAGAAGATTCTCCCTGCAAGCTAACCATTGCTTCCAACCAACATTTACATCCAGCAATTTACAAACAATAAAATTTTCAGAAACAGAAATAAGGGGTTTAAACAAGGAGTGGTAAGACTTAATTAGACTGATGGACGAGCACGCAACTTGTTTGCAACATAAAGCAAATGGTTGATGTTCGTAGGGGGGTAGTTCTGGAGTAGCTTGAGATTAGAAGTGAAATCCCCTGCTAGGAGACGCCTCCGAATGAGAATCAGCATTGCACAGCACACTCGAAGTAAAGTCTCCTGAAAGAGTAATTGTTATCTCGTTATTGTTTATGCTTTGAGCTCTTTTTGTAGTTCTTGAAATGCAGCAATAACTGAATTGTGGGCAATTTGATACAAGGACAATCCAGTAGATAATTGGAAAACAGACATACACAAGCAAGTATTGATCAATGGCAATATTTAACCAAATATCCCCACCAGGGGTTTCATGAGGAAGTGTTGCATCATCAGATAACCCTTTACTTAATTAAATGTGAGACACTGCTTAGATGTAGAACAAATCTATCAGATTTGATTTTATTCCCTAAACAGAAAAGCAAATTATAATACATAATGAAGATGTCCTACGATTGGATAGTGATTAGTGACCTGATAGCAGGGGTGTTCACTGTTTTCACTCCCTATATTGTGGCCCTCAGCCCTCAGAGAGAAATGATTCTCTTTTTATCCATAGAACAACTATAAAAGAATAGAAGAAATGAAATTACCTGAGGACCTTCAGGATCACTCAGAAGTGTGTCCCAAATATGAAGACTGTCTGCAAAATTGAATTCCTGGGTCAACAGGAGAGTAATCCACCTAAACGCATAAAATTGGGGGTTGACCTGTTATTTCAAAAACAAAGTAATAAGCCATTAGAAAAAATTATCTGGCCAAAAGATAAAACAACTCACAATTATGTACGGGAGCTGCTTTGGATGTTTTTTCTCATATATATTATGTATAAAATTTAGGGAGCAAGGAGTAGCGTAGTTACTCTTAATGAATTATTGAACATTGTCTTTTATGGAAAAAATAATTTTTTTAGGGAAATGAAAGAAGAGACATTAAAATGAAGATTAGCCATCTCTTGTTTGGTAGTCACAGTCTATATCCGCCCCAGGACTCCTTTTGACCCAGAAGGGTAACACCATAGACAACCCAGGAAGATGATTTTATCTAATAATAAATGTGGAGTTTGGAGTAAGTACATGCCCTTAAACATTTCTCAAAAAATATGGTGCAATGACTTAACATCCTGGGTCCCAACATAAAACATCTGATACTCAATCCACAGTATGCACAAATCCCTTCAGATTTAGATTTACTTTTGAACAAAAAAAGGAGTGTTAAATTACAATATCTATACATATGCGCCAAAATAAAAGGATTACACTGAGGATGCCCTTTTGAACGTAAATACAATTGAAATGGATTATATAGTGGCAGAACACAGTTTTAACAAGTAATATGGCCATGAAACATTAAACTGGAGGCATTATAAGAATGGAGTACCGAGTCATTGGCAGAATTAACTGCATTTGTCAGGAGACACAAAACATATTTAAAAAATATTGCAATCTCCAAACAAAGCAACTAAATTTATAGCTTATATCATGTCCTACCTTGGTGGTGACCTCAAGATGACGCCAAAGTTCTTCGTCATGTTCCTTTAAAAGCTGTGACAATTTTGTAATTGTCGAACGAATGCCAACAACACTGTTATCAAGTTGCTGACAGAAATGATCCCGGAATCCACTCAATAATTCAACAAAACAAAAGAATGTATCTGCTTCAGCACAAGCCTGCATAACTTATAAAGGGAAAATGATTAAACAAATGAAATCAAATAAATCGAAAGTCATCATTTTATCTGACTCCAAATTCAAGATGATAATAAGCAAGTTGATCATGATCTATATCCTCACTATCCACACAATAAGTAGACTGTTCTACATCCTAAAATTCAAAAGATAACTTGATCACAAATAGAATAATCTTTAAATGTTAACTCCATAAGAAATGTTTTAGCCTCAAACTGTTAGAAATCGCTTTTAAATTCCCATTTAAACAGTACTCATAAATTCCAACTTTGCAGCTCATTTGACCACACTAATTCAAGACTTGAACTAAAAACACTATACAGGAGCTATCGTGAACATAATACCCCAAAGAAATTCTACACCCGAAATTAATATTAAAAGGAAACATCTAATAAAGTTCTAGAGCAGCAAATATGCAGCATTTGTCCTTTCTGTCTCTCAAAGAAAGTCTATAACCAAAGAAAAGGATAAAAAATTTCTCTTTCTCCATCCAACCCGTCGACAATATTTTAGACAACAATATGTTCCTTTTTCATATGCCTAACAAACTAAAGCCTCTGTCTACATGAAATTCTACTGAAAGATCCTTTAAAATCCAAGCATCCAACTATATTTGCTGAATGTCAATTCATAGATAATTATTAACAGGAGAAGATCAAATTCTTTCAAACCAACAAAGGAGGTAAATAAAGAACAAAATACACAATGGCTAAGTTTGGAATTGGAGATTTTGAATAAGGGATTTTGAACAATCCATGGATTTGGTTCAAATCCCTCATTTGGCACAACAAAATCCCTAAGGGACAGAATCCCTCATTTTGATGGATTCTGAAATACCACATTATTTACAAAAAAAAAAAAAAAAATAGGAGATTGTTGAATAAGGGATTTGAACTAAATCCATGGATTTAGTTCAAATCCCTCAGTTTGCACGAACCAAAATCCCTAAGGGGAACAGGAATCCCTCATTTTGATTGGATTCTGAAATACCACATTATTTTACAAAACAAAAAAAAAAAAAATATTGAAATTCATGGATTAATATTATTAGCTCAAATGAGATAATTTTTACAAGTCTATGAAATTACAAACCTAGATTTTTAATTGCATGAGACTTTGATAAACCACTCATCAATATTGCCGGATGAATTGACTAAAAATAATAAATTAAAACTAATAACCGCCTTTCCTCATCAGTCATTTAATTACATAGAAAAGAGGAAGCCAGAATTTCATGGCATTCCTTGAACATATCTTATTCCCAAGGATATTAATTTAGCAAATACAATTTAAGAATGTTTGTCGTCATATGCCTCCTTGATAAATGAAAGGGCAACATGCAAAAAAAAAAAAAAAAAAATATTGAAATTCATGGATTTAATATTTGTACCAAATGAGATAATTTTTACAAGTCTATGGAATTACAAACCTAGATTTTTAATTGCATGGACTTTAAAACACTCAATCCAAATATTGCCGAGAATTGAAAAAATAAATAAATAAACTTACCGCCATTTCCTCATCAGGGTCATTTCTGAATACATAGAAAAGAGGAGCCAGAATTTCATTCATTCCTTGAACATATCTTATTCCCGGATTTAATTTAGCAAATACAATTAGAATGTTTCTCAATGCCTCCTGAAAATGAAAGGCACATGCAAGTAAGCAAACAATTTAGGTTTGCATCAAATACCATATATGAAGAAGAATAATAATAAACCTGATTAGATTTTGCCATAGATGAGTCCCCTGAAAAGAAGTGCATGTCTGGATGAGTGCGTTTCACATCTCGATCAATCTGTTCCATGATCTCTGTGTCCTATAAAATGGAAAAGTTGTAGTTACAAGTTTAATAAAAATGTTAAAATATTTATGTTGCTACCATTGCATTACAGGATGATGGAAATTCACAGGAAATGGAACACAAGTATTGAGTACATAAATGATCCCATTTCTGTTTATTATTGTTTCTGTAACTTAAAAATATCACTGGTTAAAGTATCACATCCATAAAACATATATAACTTGATACCTGGAAGAACTGATTCCAGATGCTACTCTTCCCAAGGCTCAAAGGATGCTCTCCATGGGTTATGTGCGATCTTGAAAGCATACCACTTTCATATTTTGGCTCATCATTTTCACAACCTGAGGATTTCTCCAGCCTCCTTGTGATTTCCGACTAACTAGCCACAAAAAGAATCAGAGATCCAAAACTATTTACAGGTACAATATATTAAAAAAATGGCAGCATTGATGCTTGTTGCACGACTTTAAGTGATCACTGAGACAAGTAAATCTATCTTACTTAATCATGCAAGCATACATCTAGTATAACAATTTAAGTTATGTTTTTCAAGTAGAGCCCTTTTATGTGCTGTGCTGTCAACCTTTAAGGGCTTTGCAAAATCCCCATGATTCGATAAGCTGAACTAAGAACAAGCAGAGAAACGTCAACAACTAACAGGAGGACAACTCATCCTGCCACTCATGACCATACAATAATTTAGTTTCTGAGTCCTCTCCAAAGAAGCACATTTACACAAAACAAAAGTAACGCAACAAAATCACTAATATGACTTACAGGATTCATCAAAAGCTCCTCTTTAAAATGCTTGTACTGAGACCTCTTCTTGGCCAACTCAGATGACCAAAGTGAACGATCAGGTGGCAGATACCCCAACAAGAGCTGCCAAATTCACTTAAAAATTAATACATTACATCCTAGGAAATCTATTCATCTCTTAAACTAGTACTTCAGCATGAAATTCTTATCACTAAATCCAATCAAAACTCACCTTAATCAAAAACTTAAACCTAGAATTCCTACTTCACATTTTTACAGCAACCAAATCAGAAACTCGAAAAGCAAATTCACTTAAATCAAATTAAACAGAAACAATTTGTGAAGAAGTACCTTCCAGACGGTGGAACGAACGCCAGGGCCATCAGGTATCCCTTGAGACGCAATTCTCCTCACTTCCCTCATATTTACCACTTTCCTCGACAACTACACTCATATTTCACCAGCATAATCAATACATATACATAAACCTAGATAGAGAAAGATCTAATAGGAGTAATTCTGACCTCGGTCAAGAGCTGAGCCTGTCTAGAAATATCCTCCGCAGAAACGGAGGTCCCATTATCATCGTCTTTATCATTCCTATCAGAATCATCATTACTGTTGCTACTAACACTGTTTCGCGAATCCTTATCTTTATCTTTAGCTCTGATTTCAGGCTTTGAAGAATAAGGAGGAGGATCCTCCCTAATTACAGCTGGCGGTGGGACCGGGACAGGTGGCTCGATGGGAGATTCGGTTGCTTTGGTGGGGGAATTAGTGGAGAGCCTGGAGTAGGGTTGAAGGTGATCGTCGTCAGCAGTGGAGGAAGGAGTGGTGGTGGTGGTTGTGGTGGTGGTGGACCAGAGAGAGCTGTTGAGCCAATCAGGTACTTTTTTCTTCACCATTTCAAGAGCGAGGTTTAGAAGATTGGTATATGTGTGGCTCTATAGAAACAGAAAAGAAGAAGATGGTGATGATTTGAAGTGGTTAATGGAGTTCTCTGGTAACTGAGCCGATGTTTGGAGTGCCTTTTCTTTGTTTCTCTTCGAGGAAGGGACGAAGAGGGTCAATGAGTCACAGTATGGTTATGAAAGTCTGGTGAAGGAGCAATAGGGAATTGCCAGATTGAGAGGCTAATTATTAATATTATATTTTTATCTTTGCATTAGTTTGGGAATTTGGATCCATAATTATGAATTTGGAGAATATTTTTAAAATAAAATTAGAAATTTAAATATAAACATTAATAACAGATATGTGGATAATTCATAGACAAAATATATGAATTTAAAGAGTATTTTTGAAATAAAATTAGGTAATTAAATATTTTTTCGTAAAAAAATAATGGGATTAAGAGATTTCAGACCTATAAAATTTTCTCCTTTTTAAAATGATAAAATTGATAATGTTGTGAAATTTATTAATTTCATATATAGTAGCCTATTTTTGTAAAACCAAACAAAATAATGTAAGAAATCCAAAGAGTTTATGTGTTCAAACTGCTTCTTCTTCCTTTTTTCTTATTTTAGTTTGACGCGAGTGATGTTTTTGTTATCAAAACATCACAAGTCACATTGTATTTATCTTTTATTTATCACGTCAATTCAGTTCACTTTCACAGTAAATAAATTTATAAAAAGTTTTCGAATTTGAGCTTCTAAGTGCGCAAATTTGCCACGCTGAGAGAGTTGCTATGCAATATTCAAACCGGATATAATAGTTGAATTCGAATGGACGTTCACAAACTAAAAAAATTACTTGTTATTGTGAATCATTTAATCAATACATTAACTTTGTCTTAATAATATATTTAAGACAAGGATAAATGTCTGTACTAAGATTATACACACTAAGACATAGTCTAATGGTAAATACATATACTATTTGATAATAGATCTAGATTTGAATCTCTTCCCACACTACAAAAAAAAAGATAAGGATAGGTGACTATAAGTAGAATTACAATAATCAATTCAACAAATAAATAAAAGTATTACTACTAATATTATCACAATAATACACTCGTGCAAACCACCACACACACCCAGCCAGTCTGCAGGAATAACGCGACCACATGAATCGGAATACCTTCGGAATGTAGCTTTTGTTGTCTTAAACTTTTTCAGGCCCATGTGTCCTTCCATAATTGCAATTTACAGGGCACAAGTGGGGGCACTTTGCTTGAATTTGACGTGCACATACATTCAATCATATGCCGTATTCACATTATTTATTAGTTTCGAGCTTCTGGCCCATCTCATAATACAGAAGAAGGCAAGCAACTCAATGTGCATTAGATGGGTTCCATGTTCAGGACTCAAAAAGGATTTCATTTTTTTCTTCTTCGTTTTTCTTTTCCTAACCCTTCTTTCCCATTTGAGTATTTTTACCTTTCTTTCCCACTTGAGGGATCATAGGCCAGGATTGTGTCATCCACATATAAAACAGCCATTGCCTCTTCCTCCTCAGCATCCTCTATAACAAACTGACTGATGATCCCAAACCAAACGAGGAAATGCTGCACTTATACAATGAACATTGATATAATACTTCATTGACCATTCAGAATAATCCTAGCCATCTCGCAAACATAAATTGTGATTTTAACGGTGATGAATTAGTAGAACTGCATACTAAAAGTAGCAAACGGTCTCCAGACTCTCCAAAATACAGAATTTCACTTAATCTATCCTAAGAATGGGTGAGTGTACAAGATATGAGTGGATGATCAACATACAAAAATTGGAAAAGAATGCCTCTTGATATAAAAAAAGTTAGAAAAGAATGCCTTTTTGATATAACAAACAAAATGTGTACAATGTCAGAATCATATATCACATACCGGATTACCAGTAGTCTCCACATGAGCAAATCCCATCCTTGAAATGATGGAATCGCTTTATATCTCTCAATATGATCTCTCTTTGACTCATCTTACTAGCATATTTCATCAGAGAATGGCAATCCCCACAAACTCTAAGATTTTTCACAATTCTTAAAGTCATACCAGGAGAAGTACGAATAAGCCCAAATGCGAGTGCCAACTTCTCACTGTGACTTCCTAATGCATCTTCCTTCTCTTCTTCTTCAATATTATGAAGTACCCACTCAGTTCCAGGCATGTATCCTTGTCCCTTTGCGCCTGCCACTATTTGTTCTAATTTCAAGTATATGTCTTTTGCATCTTTATGGGAAGAATCACCAGCTGCAAAACTATGCACTTGGCCCTCCACCTCTACATAACTCCATCCAGGATCTTTCTCAATGCCTCTATTCTGCATCAGAGATCTCACTCTCTCCGCATCTTCCCATCGCCCTACTGCAGCATAAACATTTGATAGGAAGACATAGCTCCCAGGATGCTTAGGTTCAAGCTCCAGGAGCTTCTGTGCGGCTAATTCTGCCAATTTAATATTCTTGTGAGCCCTACAAGTGCAAAAAAGTGCTCCCCATATCACAAAATCTGGAGTTATTGGCATCCTCTCAATGAATTTGAGAGCTTGATTTAGCCGACCTGCCCTGCCTAACAGATCAACAATCAACGCATAATGTTTCATGCTGGGCTCAATAGAGTAGTCAAGCTCCATACTCTTGAAGAAATTAAGTCCAAGATCAACTTTGCCAGCATGTGTGCAAGCCGTTAGTATGGCAAGAAAGACAACCTCATCTGGTCTTATACCTGCAAATATGGCAAGGTTAAGCTCATTCAAAGATTATCTAAACATTGAATGGAACAATAAAGCCGAAGACAATCACACCTGCGTACATCATCTGTCTGAAACACTGTATTGCTTCCTCAGAATGTCCATGAATTGCCCAACCCCATATCATAACAGTCCATGTAAGGACGTCCTTCTCTTTTGTCTCTCTAAACACCTGACTTGCGGACTCAATACTCCCACATTTTGCATACATATCCACTAAAGCAGTTCCAATTTTTGCATTCAAACGGAACCCATTGTCTGTCAGATATCTGTGTATTCTTACTCCAGCTTCAAGGGCACCAATCTTTGCACAAGCTGAGAGAGCTGAAACAATGGTGAAATCATTCGGCTTCACACCCACCTGCAACATCTTAGAAAACAAGGATAACGCCTTCTCATGGTCTCCATTATGTGAAAGCCCATTAACCATAGTAGTCCAAGAAACCACGTTCTTCTCTGGCATACGACCAAAAAGCTCATTCGCTCGTTCCAAATCTCCACTTCTCAAAAACCCATTAATCAAACTATTCCAAGACGCAGTAGTCCTCTCTGGCATAGTCTCAAAGAGATCCACAGCCTTCCTCATACTACCAACCTTACAACACCCATTAATTAACACATTCCACAATAATGTACTTTCACCATAAAATCTTTGAGGACTTTCATCAAACAGTTTCAGAGCCGAACCCAGTTCCTCAACTTTGACATACGCATCAACCATAGATATCCTAACGAATAAATCAAACTCAAACCCAGACTTGTAAATCATCCCATGAAGAGCTCTACCAAGCCCTTCTGAACACAAAGTCGCAATAGATTTCAGTACAAATGGATATGTAAGCTGGTCAGGCTTAACATCTGACCTCAACATGAGAATAAAATGAGAAATAGCACTCTCAAAAAGGGAATTATTCGTAAGCCCGCGAATCAACGCATTGAATAGAAACGAATTCTTGGGATAATAATGGTTAAAGACAGTGATAGCGTAGTCAATGAATTTGCGTGAAGAAGAGGAAGAGATCAACTGGGTAGCGATTTGGCTGCTAGTAGAGAGGTTATGGAGGAAGATTTGGGCGTGGATTTGGTGAAGTTGGCGGGAGGTTTTGGAGGCATGAATAAGAGATATGAGGTGGGTTTCCGATGGATTTTGAGAGAGGGCCTTGTTGGGTGAAGATGTGGGTTCTCTCGAAGAGGTTGTTTTAGCGGGAGAGTTTTTTGCTTTAAACAGAGCATGACGAGATCTCATTTAGTTTAGACGACTAACGGAGGGAAGACGTTAGATGGAATTATATTAGCAATTGCGAGAAGGTAAGAACTGGCTACTGCGAAGTGAATCCGTATAAGAGATGTTGACGTCCGTAATCATCAGTTGATAGTGGAAACCGATCTAAAGGGAAAATTGTAAATTGCTCCCTGAGTTATAGTAAAATTAACATACAACCACTTTTATTTTTAAAAATTAAATATGAGATTTTTAACTTATAGTTCAGTTAACATGTTGATCCTTTTGGCCAAAATAGTCTTTTTATAATTGGCAATCGACTAAAAGGTTGATTTCTAAAAATAGTTAAACTAATAATGAGCTCCCTAATTTATAATTGTTATTAACACTTTGATTTCTTTTTTTTTATGATTTTCGTTAGTATCTTGATCCATCTATTCTAGATGAAATGATCAAAACGTTAATAAAATTATAATTTAGAGACTTTATAGTTAATTTTTAAAAATAGAAATACTCACATATTAATTTGACTATAATTGAAATACCAATTTATTATTTTTTTTTTCAAAAGCCCCGAGCAATGGCTTTTCATAGCATGCGAAAAAAGCATTTATTATGTTAAAAAATTGAGGTATCAAATTAATTACCAGCTATTAGAATATTTAATTTTGCCAAATAGACCAAAGTCAAAATCCATCAATTTCATAAAATTTCATATTTGATCGGTTAATTAAAAAATTAAAATTATAAATTTTAAGAATATTTTGAAAATATAAGTAAATTACATTATTAATAATAAAGTGATAAACTAATATTTTTTTTTCCAACACCGTAGAATTAAAATTCCATAAATCATGATATTGAAATACAATCCAAAAAAAAAGAAACCCCTGTGCAATTAAGGTAAATAAAGGTTTTATTCATTCATAAACAATAAAACTTAATTTAATTAAGTTGATTTTTATAAAAAAGAATTTAAATTGAAAAGTTATCCATCCTTAAATTGTCCATGAATTGAAGAGACAACAATGGAATGACAAAAACCAAGTTTTCAACGGCTACAGTATCAGCAAAGAAAGAAAAGAAAACGTAATACAGCAAAATTGAAGATAATGGTTGGCATAAACTTAGCAAGATGCACTCGATTCTATGGAGGTTTGAATTCATAAAATGGGTATTTTTAATCTTTTAATCTAACCAAAGCCATGAAAGTGCTTACACAATTCTTGAAAATCCCTTTTACTTTCTGGTAAAAGAACATTTTACAGTACATGGAAAGCTGCTTCAACTTAAAGAACACCGAAAAATGGATTATTAATTGCAGAGTTCAGCTCGGATCCAGCTGAATTCATCACTTGCATGTCGACCTTGTCCCTAGCTAAGAAAAGGAACTCGCCCCCTTCAATTTTCTCAAAGCCGCATAGCTCCAGAAACTCAATGCCCCCTTTCAGTGAACCAACTCTATCCTGTTTAATGCAATTAGAATTTTGCAAATGAAGGGCAAAGAAAAAAAAAAAAAAAGGAAAGAAAGAAAATTAGAGATTCACCATCAGAGCACATACAAATTAGCAACTAAAGGCACTGAATTTAATGAAATTCTGGAAAACCATGATATTAACTGATCAGATAAGATGGTGCAAAGAACATGCAATTAGTTGCTAGCTAATCAATAGTCAATTAGCAAATTTAAAAAAAAAAAAAAAAAGATTTTAGAGCTCAGGGCAAAGGCAGGGGAGACTGTAGATGCAAGTGATGAATTTAGGATCTCATAGAACAGGGGAGAGGAGCAGAAGCAAACACAAGTGGTAGCTGCTAGTGACAAGGAAGGATGATCGCTCAGTATATGCTGACGGAGGCAATGGCAATGCCAGTTGTGCTGTATAACAAACACATGCACCATCAATACCTCTCACATAAATGAAAGGGTAAAAAGAACTGACATATATTGGTTCTACTAAGTCTAGGGGACTCCTAGTCTGCAGAGCCATGAAGCCCCCATTCAGCGCTCAAGTTGTACAAACATCCCTTCAGCAGATATACTCAGTGTTTATCCCTAATTTCCTTATGTGTGCAGAGAAGAGAACTGCAAGTGCTTGAATATTCATATAGGTTTTTTCCTGTATATGAAATAAAAGTTCCATACCTGAAAGGTTTGGTTGTTGACCCTAATTTTTCTGTACTTCTCCTCATTAGGATTTTTGGCAACATTCCCTATGTAAGTTAGGAGAGTCTGGAATGCCCTCTTCACTTTAGCGTCATCATCCTAGTAACAGAAAAAGTGAAGTGAGCAATTAAAACCACTCTACAGTGATGCATAACTTTCAAGAGAAACTGATCAGAAAAGTAGGAATAAACTTTGCACAGACTGCATTACCAAATGAGGGAGAATGAGAACTGTAAGTTGTATTTACCTTGTGATTCTGCTTAAGAGACCGCAGACACTCTCTCATTTGCTCTACCTTTGTGGCAGGCCTAATAGGCAAGGAGCTCTACAAAACATAGTGTATGTTCCATAATTTATATTTGATAGTTTCTGTAGATTTTGAATGGCTACATCAAACTTATAAATTTTTCTCCATACCTTTTTCTCCTCCACAACAGGTGCAGAAGGTTTTACAGTTGTAGGATCTTCTGGTGGCAATCCAAGCTTCCTTCTTCTTTCTGCCTGTGAAATATCCAACTATAATTAGGAATCCACTACCATAAATGGGCAATTCCAGATATAAGATAAACAACAAATGGGAGGCAGTACGATGGACAGGGATAGAAGAATCAACACAACTTTTCCATTTGCCAAAAGAGATCTTGAAAGATCTTTCATTTTTGTATCTAGAGATGTTCAAGTGCTTTTCTTTTCTTTTCTTTCTTTCTATCTTTGTAGCATCAAGTTAATTAAAAAAGAACAAGGAAAACTTATCAATTTTTTTCAAATCATAAAACCACTATTTGAAACATTCAGGAGTGAAGAAATAGCAATTGGATAGCAGTGAACCTTGTCTTCTTCCAACTTCTGGCGAATTTTTTCCCTAGCCCTCTTCTCTTCCTCCTTCTCTGCCTTCCGCAATGCCAGTATGCTGAGAGAGAAAAAAAAAAAAAAAGTCTTTCATCCAAACGAATAACACAAGAAAACAGCATTTAACACCATACTGAACGCAAGTCCAATAAATGCTAAACGAAACAACATCGGACAGAGGCAAACCGCTTTCTTTCATTTTCTTCTTCAATTCGTTTTGCTTCTAGGAGTTCCTTGCCAATCCGAATTCTCTCCTGAAAAAAGTAATAAAAGTATGTAATCTAGCTATGGGAAATATGTAAAATCACGTTATATTAAGATACGAGATGACTCAACAAAAAGAGAATCAGCATCCATAAAAAAAAAAAAAAGTCTTTCATCCAAACGAATAACACAAGAAAACAGCATTTAACACCATACTGAACGCAAGTCCAATAAATGCTAAACGAAACAACATCGGACAGAGGCAAACCGCTTTCTTTCATTTTCTTCTTCAATTCGTTTTGCTTCTAGGAGTTCCTTGCCAATCCGAATTCTCTCCTGAAAAAAGTAATAAAAGTATGTAATCTAGCTATGGGAAATATGTAAAATCACGTTATATTAAGATACGAGATGACTCAACAAAAAGAGAATCAGCATCCATAAGATGGAATTCTAAATAAGATTTAATCTCCCACGAGGGCCTAAGCATACAAAACCATGTAAGAATTTTTTACTTTTTTTGAACTGAACCATGTGACAGTTTATATATAAAGATTTTGTTGTTTCAGCAAAACACTCTAGAAAATAGTGTGAAATTTCATTTGGAAAATACTTTATCTCTACAGGTCATTCACAGTGCTATCGACTGCTTATGTTTGAATTATTAGAATTATACTTGGAAAAACAGTCTATGTTGGTAAATATGTTGGCAAATACCAGACCATGTGTGAAAATAACCACATTCAATAGCAAAGCTTGGACAAAACGTTAAGTTACAAACTTGGAACACCATAGACTTTTCATACAGCCTAACGTACAAACCATCACGGTTAGAGAGATTATGCATTAGGCCACCATGTTTACAGTATGGAAATTGGCTACTGCCAACCAAAACATTTATCTCCCAGGAAGCATGATAAGAGCATGAATATGCCTAATTCTGATACAGGAAATGTATATAAAAAAGAATTCATACAAAGAAAGAAAAAGTAAGAAGCACCTTTTCCCTTTCTCTTTCCATTCTCTTCTCTTCCTCCTCTTTCTTCTTGCGAGCACGCTCTCTTCAAAACATTGACATGAAAGATAAGCATGAGTTAAAACCCTGATGGAGATGGTTCTGAGGTGGAAGAGTGTGCATGTGTGTCTCCTAGGGAAAGAGAGAGAAGACAACAAAAAGTATCTGATATATGTTTGTCCTTGAAAGATCCCTTTCAAGTCAAATTATGTGGTTTATATAAAACTTTCAGATTTCTGTAAACTAAAACAATCTCAAGGGCCTTTTCACCATTCTTAAAACTTCTTCAGAATTACTTGTAAATAGAGTTCCACTACACTTAACCGATAAAACTAGGGGTCGAACAATAACATTGATGTGTTCGACGATTTGTATGGGAAGAGAAAAAAGAAAGAAAAGAGAAGAGTATACACTAGAAATTAATTTGCAGGCTAATGCGTCTTACTTTAGCTCTTGTGCTTTAAGTTTCATTTCTTCAGGTGTAAGAGAAGGTTTAGGATCCTCAACGTTTTTGTTAGCAGGTACCTGCGCAAACAAGGAAGTTATATCAGGGAGAAGAAATGTTCAATCAGAGATAAGAGATGGATTAACGAGATGGACAAAAAAGGAAGACATCTTAATTGCTTTTGCATTTGGAAATTGCAGCATGCATATGTACACACAGAGAATGGATTACAAAAAATAGCAAAAATAGAAAGATGCACATGATACAAATAAAAGAAAATGAACAATAATATCATACCATGGGCATGTCATCTATGTCTGGGTCATTCTCATGCTCAACTATCCAGTTTACAGCAGCTTCAATGCTGGCATTCCCTGAAGAGAAAGAACATTACATTAGCATAAAGGTTGTCAGATTATATTATAATCCAGATAAGGAATAAGACATACAACAAAAAATAAATAAATAAATAAATAAATATATAGGCCACTTCCTTCTCCCATTTAACCATATTGTATCTTCAGTGACACTCAGACTGTACGGATTAGGCTCTGCCATGCATAATTTTGAAAAGATCTCTAGCGCTCAAAAGAAATCCCTAAAACGCAGAATGTGTGTGCGCGCATCATTCCTTCTCAGCCAGCCACAGCCAATGATGACTAATTCTTAACCTCAAAAAAGAAATTAAAAAAAAAAAGTATAAAACAATGTTCATACCAGAGTAATGAAGTGCCCGGGTTGCCCGTGCTTTTGGGAAACCCATTCCTTCTAGTTCCTCAAGGAGCTTTTGGTCAACCTCTGGAGCTACCATTTCTAGAAAATCAACAGAAATAAACATCAACACATGGCTTGAAGATAAACATTATAAAAATGATAGTATAATTAACGAGACCAAGATACTATATAATAAAAATCGCACCAAGAGCAGACTAACCATATATAAAGAGAAGTCCATCTATGAAATAAAGAATTCAGAAATTCCGAAATATCTTACCTTTCAGAAATAAAAAGTGAAAAATACACCAACAGCACAGAAAACTAAGTCATGTATTTGTAATTGCCAAAAAAGATAATTCCTCTCCTCAACACTCTTCTATTTCTTTCGCCTCTCATAACAAGAAGACAGTGAGAGGTTCCAAATAACAGCTATTTCCTGCCTTTCCTAAATATAAACCCGTGCAAGAAATAACTCTTTCTCCACCAACACTGCTATATGACACATATGATGCCCTGAGTTGAGAATGCAAAAGATCTTAACCGTCTGATGCAAAAAGAATACCTAAATTATTAACTGAATCCACCTGATTCTCATGGAGGAAAATTTTATTTTAAGCCTAACATGGAGCAAATAGAGTCATCTATAAAATTTTCACCAAGACAAGATAACCATACAACCAAAAGCATACATAATAAACTTTTAACAAATACTAATACCAAACCTCCATGATCAAAAAAGGAAAACGAACTTATTTATGATCCTTGGAAAATAACAGAACTTAAACAGTCATGAAAGGAGGTGCAGCCTAAATGCACTAATAGCACACAATACAAGTGCCAACAAGAAATAAAAACAAAAAGAACTCAAATCTAATATCCAACAACTCTAAAAGGACATGAAAGCAAAATAAGTATTGAACTACAACACAAGGAACAGCCAAAAGACAGAAACAATGACATTCCATAACCCATTATGGAAGGACGAAGTAACCATAGCTGATAAATGCTTAAAACATAAGTGGAAAAAAATCAAGCAACCGTTCAATTTCAGCACATCCAAAACGTTACCTGCAGACTGGTCACTAGGGCCGGCGTCGACGGGCTCATCCTCATCCATTGGTGCCTTAGGAACCTCTAGACTGATTGGTTTTGCTGCCTCAGAAGTCTTATCTACAAACTCTGTATGCCCAGTTCTCTTTGTGTGCAGATCACTTTCCTTCATGAATAAACAAAACCAAAAAAAGAGAAGAATATATATGAAAAACAAAATTCTTTGAAAAAAATAAAAAATCTTGGACCAAGATTTTAACTTCTTGCGGAGTCAAAATTCGACCTTTACTCAAAACCCAACAACATAAACTCTTTTTCCCACCAGACCAAATCAATCTTCAGACTAACTGCACAATTAATCACTTTAATTCCCATGAAGCTCCCATAAACCCAGCACGAAATTACTAAATATTGATTCGAAATTTCCCAAAAAAAAACTTCCCAATTCAAAAAAATATAGCAAAAGGAAAAGAAAGATTAACATTGATTAAATCTTACTGTTTTGGATCGGCAAGGTTTGTTACAGATAGTGCAAACGAGATTGAGCACAGCCTCCGTCGACTCGGAGAAATTGGAGTGAGAAGTCAGCTCGGCGTGCTCTTGAGCCTCCTGAACGGACTTCAGGAGAGCACCACAGTCCCCGCACTTCAACGATACTCCTGCCATTTCTTGATCGGTCGGTGACCGTGGTTAGAAGAGCTATACAATGTTTATTTCGATAACTTCCAGCTTTCAGGTGGAGCAATTGTAAGATTTGTAATGTTAGATGTTGGCATAAGTTGTAGCTTGTTGGTGAGGAAAGGTGAAACTGTTGGAACGAGGGCGTGTTTGAACTGAGAGTTAAAAGAAAATTGCAGCCCAAACCCAAAGGAAACAAATGTGGGTTTGGAAACAGAGGGGTTTGGTAGGCCTAAAATGTTAAAACAAACCGTTTTGTGTTGGAGTTAGATTATAAAAAAATAAATAAAAATTGCACCAAAATATTAACGTGGAAGGTTTGAAATAAATTTAAAAATTCAAATTCTTTGTTTTTGGTATTAAAAGATTGAAAATTTAAATTTTATGAATTTAATTATATAAATTTGAATATAATTAAATCCAATTCTATAAAAAAATGTGAAATTTCCAAATAAATTCCATAAATTTGAACAACTTAAATTTTTATGACAGAACTATATGTCTCTTTGACCTTCTAAAATTATTATATCAAAAAAATTTTAATAAATAAAAGCAAATGAATTTTAAATAATAATAATAATAATAATTTCTTGACCTAAACTCTCGCAAACGAAAAGTGGCAAACAATGCATGCACATGTGCTAATCTAAAGTTGTTTATTTAAATTAATTTATTTTGTTTTATATGAAGATGTTTGAGATTAAACAACTTGATTTCTTTTTTTTTTTTTTTTTATTTTGTTTAGTATGAAGATGTTTGAATTAAACAACTTGATTTCTTTTTTTTTTTTTTTTTTTTTTGGTTGAAAATGGTATAATGATATTTTGCAGTTGTGTTAATAAATTAGAGGGATTTTTTTTTTAAAGAGAAATTAAAGGGGAGTAAATAACTCTTTTATATTTGTATTCAAAATCAAAAGCTTAATTTTGCTTCTAAATTTTTAGCGAATACTTTTATTCACGTACAAAAATATTACTAATATTAACTAAAATATTAAAAATATTTTATTTTTAGTTTAAATCATTAAATTAGTTATAAAAAAGTTATACAATTCATCATTTAAGAAAAATTTTATCATTTTTAAACTTAATACAATACATAAAATTCTGGCAATAGACTATTAAACTAAATTTTTGTCACGACCCGAAACCATGGGCCGGACCGGCACTAGGGCCCAGGTAAGCTTAAGGCCCCCGAGGCCCGTAGTAAGCCTGAAAGCCTGAATCATAAAATTCTCCTTTCTCAATATAAATTTCAAACATTTAAGCCCATACTACTAGAAAAATAAACCTCAAGATTTTATTAAATCTCGGCCCCAAATTCATCATCTACAAACATTTTCATAGTTCGGGCCAATTAACAATACATCACCATTTCTAATATGGATTCACAAAATTATTTCGTTCTATATTAATACACCGACTAATCGTATTGTAAATTCTTACAACTGGCGGAGTCACGAACTATTTAGTATACATAGCTTTTTCTTTTATACATATAATTACATTTGTAAAATAATTTATAAAACTGGGAAAATTTTCTTCTAGTCCGTGCGGCAAAGGAACATAAAACTTAACCGAATTAAAGAGAAATTACTTCCTGAAAAAGTTAAACAAGATTATGTGAGACCTTCTAAGAAGTAATACCTATAGCACAACCCACTCATTCACACCAAATGAATAAATATATCAATTCTAGTCATCCGACTAGTTATTATGCTCACGCAGCCAGTCACAACCAAATGCGCATATCATTCAGCACTCAACCAATTCATAAAACATCTTCATTAAATCACATCACGTGGAAATTAGTCAGTGGCGCCCACCTGAAACCCCAACAGCCGTCCTCACACATGGCTCGCCCTCTTCATACATGTGCACCAGGGAGCGATCCCCCATCGGCCAACTGGTCTAATCCTCACTGACCAGTCCTCTCATTATTTTTCCATTTCTTCTCGTTTCTTTTCCATACCCATTTTCCATATCAACAGGAGGCAACTCGGTGGTCTCCATCCATCCAATCTAGATCATCAAGTGCTCACCACAGGAGGCCACCCTGCGGGCTACAATCAAATCTAGATTATCAGGTGCGCAACAACAAGAAGCCATCCTGTGAATTCCCATATAATCCATATCATCAGGTGCACACAGGGGCGCCGATCTCCCATTTTCCTGGCCGACGGTCAAATATCATATCATATTTAGGATCCATATCACAGACCGTCCTCACAAACCCATGGTGGTCCACTTCATCCCAATTCAACACAAACAAAGCATAGCATTATCACAACACAATTAATCAAACATTGCAATTAATTGCAGACATATTGATCAGTTGAACATCTAATGCAATGCAAAATTAGACACCATTCTCAAATGCAATTAAATAATTAAATTAAATTGATATTAACCAAACCAACAAAGATAAAAATAAATAATAATAATAATAATAATAATATAAACAATGATTAATAATGAAAATAAATAAATAATTGAATAATGAAATGAATAATAATGATAATGATAAAGTAATTAAAGCACTTTATTTATTATGTATCAAATTATAGAAATTATCTAAGTAAGCTTATTTATTATGTTATTAATTAAAACTAGTCTAGGTTCTATCGAAATTTCGACAGCATTTCCCCTAAAAGTAGGACTATCTACCTATTTAAATATCACAATAATATTATATATTTATCAGTCAATGCACGCAATCCATCCGTCGGGCAACTCTCAACAACACTTCCCATCCGCCACATTCATAACTCAACATCCATTAAGCTCTTGCATTAACAAATAATCAACTCACAAAAATAATAACTAAGAATTCTTATTTCCATGTCAAATCTTCTAGTTATGATTATAGTTCATGAAATTTATTTGACAATACTCTAAACTAATTTACAATTACAGCTTACATTAAATATTAGCTTAAGGAATTTAAAAATTTTTTTTTTTTTTTTTTTCAATTTATCCAAAACCTCCTTAAATATAATTATTAGTTCATGTAAAATTTATTTGACCAAAGTTTCTAAATCATTTGCAATTACATATTCTAAAATCCTAAAAACCAATTTAACTAAAATATATTCCGCTAATCGCAAAATTCCGCATACTATTACATTATTCTAAAATCCTAAACCAATTAACTAAACATATCCGACTATCGCAATATCCGCATACTAATCAATTTAATTTATTTACAAAAAAAACTAAAAATTTTCTATATATATATTTAGACTATTCCAATATCCTAATTTCTTGTTATTCAATTTAATTTACTTAATTACTCAATTAAATTCTTTAATTAATTAATGTTTTATATACAAAAATTGAGAATTGAGTCTTAGAGCGTACCAATTGAAATTTCAGCGACGTTGCCACGATCCTCGCGAAGAGGGGAAAATTCTGTCCCTTGGTGCCTCGCCGGACCGCCGCCGTCCACGGTGGCCGGAATATGGACTGTGGCCAGAATTGAACAATATTTATACCAAAATGCTCGAAATCTTATGGGGACTCCGATTGCGTGTTCCGTTTGAACTGGGTGTGCCTGTTTTGGTCGGAAATGGCCCCAACAGTGGCTTCGCCACTACCATTCACGGCAGTTCTATCATCCGAGCTTCATCGCCGGAATTGATGGGGGAAAAAGATCTTCGGGAAGAGGGAAGTCGATCGAAGCATGTCCCTCGACCTCAAGCTGACGGAATCGGCGTGGATCGCCGGAAATTGGTGAACACGAGCTGTCAAGGAGAACAGCTCCGTCTCGCTCCCATTGAAGCTCTTTCCGCGCGAGAGGAAGCTGGAAACACGACCACCAGCACCAGACGAGCCGACCGCCACCTCGCTTTCGTTGAGCGGTGGGCGGTGGCCGGAAACGAGAAGGAAAGGAGGAGGAGGCTGCTGTCGCACGCCCAAGAAAGAAGAAGGAGAGAGGAAGAAAAGAAGAAACCAAGTCGGTTTCTAGATCATTTCCGGTTCGATTCGAACCGGTTTGATCTGAAATTCAAACAATTTGGCTCGATTTTGCTTGATTCGGCGAGTTTCCACTGGTTTCAAGTTATTCGCGTGGTTTTCGGAAAAATCAATTTGATTTTTCGGGTCCGGGTTAAACGATTTATTTTTGATTATTTTAGTTAGGTCCATAACCATTTCCTCCATTTAATTAATATTAATTCATTATTTGGGAGAAGTTTTATATTTATTTCTCGGGAAATTTAAAGGTTTCGAATCGAATTTCCAATTAGAATATGTTTGGGCTTGGGCCCAATAATTGGCAAATTTGGGCTCAAATTAAAATTGTTTGGTATTTACAGCCCATACCGTCAACATTCGGATTTTTGATTTAATAAAAATTCTAAATTTTTGAAAATAAAATTACGGGGTGTTTCAATTTTAAATAAAGAAAAATGAAAAATTTTTTTATTTCAATCATTTTAAAACCAAAAAAATTATTTGTTATTTTATCTACTTTTGAGTTTGAAATTTTTTTATTAGCACATTTTAAGATTTTAATGATTAATTAACAATAATAGGACGAGAAAAATTAGAAAAATATATATTAATCATTATATTAATTGATAAAATAAATTAATTTTTTAAACCATATACATAAGTAGTTTATAGAAAAAGGAAATATACATGTTATAACTGATAAGATTATTTCTATAATATAAAAGATAACAAAAAATTTCGTCAAATATCAATTTTTGCTCTAGACACTAATAATTTTAAAAATAGAGCCTTTCTAAAAATTATTTGTTTTTAATCTGAAATTTGAAAAAAAAAATTAAAAATAGAAAAATTAAAAATATAATAATTTATTATATCAATTATTTCTTTCAAGCCATTGATTGATACTTTTTTTATAAAAAAAAAAAAAAAAAAAAAAAAAAAAAAAAAAAAAAAAAAAAAAAAAAAAAAAAATTATATATATTATATATATATATATATATATATATATATATATAAAATATTAGGATGTTAAATTGTATACATTTTTTCCCCCTTTTCATTATTCCATTAAATCAAGGCAAATAGAACATATATAAAATATTAGGATGTTAAATTTATACATTTTCCCCCTTTTCATTATTCCATTAAATCAAGCATAATAGAACATGAAAAAAAGAGGGAAGGTCCATATCTCATAATGTGTACATGAGCCGTAGAGGATCCTTTCTTATCAGTTTACATTGCAAACTTTAAACTACTTGTAACTCCCACCTATGGTTCTTCTTATGGTGTTTACCGACCTACCAAAAGAACAAGAGAGAAAAAGAAAATTCCAATTTTCTCCAGAAAAAGCACACATTTTCCGGGAAATAGAAAACCTCAAACCCAAACCAAACCAAGCTCTCCCGGTTCGATGATCTCCATCCGCTAATTCCTTCTCTCCGTAGTATGATGAGGTCAGGCCCTGACCTCTTCTTGCACAAAGTAATTACATTTTCGATTTCAGAAATTAATGGAAAGAGAGCGAACTGTTCCTCCAGAACTAAAAACGGAAGGTAACGAATCGGAGAAATTGAAATTGATCGAATGGGAAGATTACGAGCAGGAAGTTGCGAGACTGTGGAGCCTTTCCTCTGCTCTAAAAGAAGCTAGGGAAAAGAAGCTGAGTCTTCAACAAAAGCTCAATTCTTTCATTCAGGTTTTTTTTTTTTTTTTGGGTTTTTTCAAATTGGTATATTGGTCTATTGATTTTTACTGTTTATTTAGACTTTAAAATTGGCTTCGGTTTGATTGCTTTGATGGGCTAAGAGAAGAGATCAAGAAGAAAATTGTGCATTTATTGTAGTAGAATCTAGCTGTTGCTAAAATGGCTACTGAATCTGTCTAGTTGGGTTGCTACTGAGGGAGGACTTTGATGATCTTATATTAGTGGAACAGTTGGATTGCGTTCGTTTTATAATTGAATTGCTCTTTTATTTGAAAATCAAAGTTGATAACCGTTAGGCTGAATAATAAGTTTAAACATGGTTGAGCTTGTTCATTTGGGTTTTCTAACCCTGATTTAAAAAGGAGTGAATATGATGGTGATTCTTATGGTTTCTGGCAAGTTTTAGGTATTTTTTTATCTGTGTTTTGTCCTCTTTTCTTTCTTCATGCATTTTGTTGGACCTTAATTAATTGATTAGCCCGCGGATTAGCGGGCCGCAACATGGTGGGCAGGTCGAATCCGAGTCATTAAGTAGATTGAATGAGCTTGAGGAGATGCACCAGAACTTGGAGGCCAGAAAATTGGCAATGGAAAGCATATCAGCTAGTTCGAAGGTTGCATCAGAGGATGCCAAAAAGGAAGAGCAGAGGCTAAGTATGGAAGTTAGATCTCTTTTGGTTGCGGGCACTGCACTTTCTGCAGCTAGTAAGCAACTGCAGGTAGTCATATTTAGTATGAGTTTATTAGGTATCAAATACCGTGGAACCTTGATAACTTGAGAAACTTTGGCTGTAATTTTCAGCTCTAAAGTGCAGTTGATTTTTTTTTTTTTAAATACATTTTTCGACATTTATCACTGTGTGCAAGGTATATAATATTTCCTATACTTTTAGTATCTATATGATCTAAAACATCCAATATTTCCTATACTTTCTACATTTGCTTGTTGGTTCACATCTATTTAGCTAATTCTATTATTTTTATTGCATATTTGTCATTTTTTTTTCTTTGAGTAATTTTGTTGAATAATACATTGTTAGTATTAGAGCTTAATTTATATTACAGGAATCAAAGAGGTCACTTTCTGGAGAGAGGGGTTATGGTCGTCTTAGAAACTTGCAGAAGAAGCTTAGACTGAGGCAACGGAATATGATATCACAAGTTGCATTGCTTTATCCTGTAAAGATATCAGCTGGACCTTCGGAGGAGCAAGAACTTGAATCATTTCCAAGCACTAGTAGATCAGGTAATACAATAATGAGATGTGAATAAATAAAAAGTTTTGTACCCCAAATTTTCAGCAATAAAATGCCAAAAGAAGTTAAACATATGGGCAATGATTAAGATTCTTCTCTTTTGGATTTTCCTGTATTGGGTACTTGTTAGTTTCTAGTTGTTGCAAGCTAATATTTACTCTTTTGGATTGCTTGGATATAATGCAGATATATCCAGTTAGATCTATTATTAGTTCTCATGTTCAAGGTTTTCAAAACAAGTTCCCTTGCACATTTGAAGTTCTTTTGACTTTTTTAAATCTTGCCAACTATGCTACTATTTATAAATGATATACATACTATCATGACGACCAGTATGATTGTGGGATTTCTATAAATGTCGGAATTAGTTTTTTTAGTTATTTTTTTTCTTTTAGTTTCTTCTGCAGTGGCAGTTTGTTTGGGAAAAAGAAAGGACATCTAAGTATTCTACAAAAAAATTGTTTATCATGGAATCATCTTCATTTTCCATCAATCTTAGTTCTACAAATAAATTGTTGTGCAGCTTGTCAATGCTCATGGCCATCCCATATTTTCTTCAGACCTGGTTACCCTGACCTCTATAGTATCTGTTTCCATTTCTTTTGTTTTGCTGCCATTCCATGTTCATGGTATGTGCATTTATATCATCTAGGTTTTGATTGAGGTATTACGTGTCCTGGCGACGATTCTATGATAGTAACTTTTCTATATTGTAAAACTGGGATCTCATATTTCTTTTTCAATTATCTACTTGTTTCTTAATCTTACTCCTGTCTATCAGGGAACTACACTGGATCTAAACCCGTCAATCAAGGATCCTTAACAATTTTAGGTCTACATTTGTCTATGCTTCCTTTCACAAAGATGAGTTTTTTCACTGATAAGAAGGAGGTCCAGAAGTCTGCAACTGCTCTGGGATATGTTGCCCATGTGCGTACTTCTCTTTTATCAGTTGCTTGCATCATGGATCATTTATCTTCGAATATTTGTGAACATATTCCTGAATTTATGCTCAGAAATAGATGATTTTCTGATTGTTGCTTATATTGATCTAAAAGATATATTCCATAGTGATTTGTCATATGGAAGCTGTTGGAAGATATTTTAATTGCTGTTCAGCTATTTGAATAATTTAAAATGTGCTTTGTTTGTCCTGTTTTCTCTTGTAGGCTGTATCACTCATTGCCTCCTACTTAAAAGTTCCTTTGCGTTACCCTGTGCGCTTGGGTGGGTCTCGGTCATATATTAATGACTATGCACCTTCCACTGAACCTTCATCCTCTGATTTGCTAACAAGTTCATCATCCAATGCTAATCCAAAGTCTGTTGAATTTCCCCTTTTTTTGGAAGGTCAAGATACAACACGAGCAGCTTATGCTGTATTCCTGTTAAACAAGGTAATTTACCATCATCTGCCTTTTCTCTGTGTTCTCCAGGGGTGTATTCAGGAATTAGATATCATTGTATTTTAATGCACTCACTTAGTCTGAAAATGTTTGTTTATATTTGATTCTGTTTGCAAATTTTCTAGATAATGATGTTATTGTTAAGTTGAGGATTCTCCTCTAGAGGGTGGTGGTGATCTGTTCTTGGAACTCCACTTCTCATTCCCTATTTACTTGTTTCTCTTTTCGAGTCAAGTCTTTGGTGGGGTGCAGAATAATCTGGGGCTTAGAGAAGGCTTGCTAGCAGTCTTGCTCATTTAACCTGTTAACCAATGGTCTTTTGATAGAGATTCCTGCAGGTTATTGGTGCATTAGTGAAACATTTTATGGTAAAGCTGATTTTTCTACTTGATTTTGATCTTGTACCTTGTCCCGAATAACGCATATTTCATGGTTGTAGGATTTGGAGCAGCTTTTGAATTATATTGGTGTTAAAAGTTTAGGACCACGCCATGTCTTGGCTAATTTGAAGGAGCTCACACGTGTAATTCAGTCTGCAGAGTTTTTAGAAACATGATGAGATCTTGTTTTGACCTCTAACTTAGCAACTTCTTTGTAAATGATTTACTTGAATTGATACAAAGGTGCAATTTTTTTAATGTAGCACCTTGCCATATATCCTTGTCAATTCTTAATTGATAGAAGCCTTGGTTAATGTGGATCCCTTTTTTTCTTCTTCTTCTTCTATTTTTTTTTTTTTTTTTTTTTTTTCTTCTTCTTATTTTTTTTTTTTTTTTTTTTTAAAAACAATTCTTAGAGCTCCCAGCTGTCCACTATTGGGAGATTGCTCATTTACTAATAAAAGTTTATTCTATGACTATATTAGTTTTTTTTTTTTTTTTTTTTTTTTTAAAAGAAATTCTAGAGCTCCAGTGTCACTATTGGGAGTTGCTCATTTACTAATAAAAGTTTATTCTATGACTATATAGTCACTTACAAGGAAACTGCAGCAGATTAAGAGTTACTACTTTGTGACAGTCTAGGCTCTCTCTGTTTTTGCTTATTTTGTTTGTCTAAATTGACAAGTTGATTTGCAGTTGAAATAAAGGAAATTTTAGGTTGATGTCACTGTCCACATTCTGGAGGCGGCGTGGGATTCTTTGTCTGATCTGTGCAGTAATCATATATCTTATACGTGCTCTTAACATATTGATATATGTGATCCTCGGAGGGACCTAATGTCCAAAACCCCTCTTGATTCCACCAAGGATTTGGAGAAATGCAAGCATCAATATTGTCAGAGTCGCCGACAGGGCATGCACTGACAGTGAAGTCCCTATATCCAGCTATAAATGGTGCATATGCCCAATTAATCTTAGTCCGTCCACCATCTGTTGCCCAGCCATCTCCATTCCATATACTTGCTGCTATCTTCATGGGTTTTGATAGATACCCAACTCCTATATTCCGATTGTTCTTGAAAACCCGGATCGGAGAATCATCCACGTAAAATCTGTAAAACTCGAGCGAGCAGAATTGTGTTAGATCCTTACTGATTTAGTGTCCAAATCGCGTGTCAAGTAAAACAAACATTTTCTTACACTATCATATGTTGGTTCCAAAAGATAGTGTATCGATGGAAATCTGCTGTGGGGTCAAACCATAATTTGAATCTTTGCTCCCTCTCCCCTTTACCCTCTGCAAATACATTGGTTTGTAAATACACAGGTTGGCCTTCTTTGTTGCCCAGAAACTCAAAATCCAACTCATCATGGCCATTTTCCGACACTGAAGTCAACTATCCAAGAAAATTGAAGTAAGGTAATTCTTAAAACGTTTGGTATGGAAATTCCAAATGCACTTAGGAATCAAAAATCTTACATAAAAAGTTGTAACAACTCCAGCTGAGTTCCTGCCTGGTACTTTGATCTCAATGCTAAAGTAACCTCCCCCGTATGCCGCCTTGGATTCAAAACGTGCACCTGTTTAGTTACATTAGATGTGTTAGAATTTTATCAGTAATATAAATTCATCCTGACTGGGGAAATGAAATTTAAAAATTCATTGTTCTAAAATCATAGCATGACCGGATGACTGGTCGAGAAATATTTGAACGTCTGTGCCACCGCCGAATGTTCGAACATGGTCAGAACCCCATGCAAACTCGTAGTTATCGAAAATGCTAGGACCTCCAAGATCTTCATTGCTGCAGTTAACACTCTGCATAATTAGTACTGATATGATTCCTATTATGAAAACCAAACTGATTCTGTATGAACCCATCTTTTTAATTTGATTGAATTTCTTTCTTTCTTCATGTTATTATTTATAGTGGAGTGGAAGAGCAACAGAAACATGCACGCAATAATGGTGTGACTTTCTAAATTATTTTAGATTTGCTGAAGGAAGTTAATTTGTTATTTGATGGGAAACAAACGAAGGGTAGAATTAGCAGATTCAAGGCCTTGTTTCTTGGTTCATGTAAAAAGACTTACTAGTGATTGAATGTTTCCAAATGTTGTTCGTTTGTACCTTCTAATCGTTAATTGCTATACTTGATCTGGTGCTAATGCTGTGAAGAAGCTGCCACAGGGGCCGTAATGTTGCTACCAAGCGTCTGTCAAACGACAAGGAATAGGTGGGCATAGGCATAACTTTGATTGAGCTGTCGTTTACAGCTCAGCGACATACCACTCGTTTGTCGTTAATGCTTGTCTCAAACGTGCGTCGTGTAATATGGCGATCAAAATTGAGTTCGGCCCTTGACGGTTCTGGAACTCTTAACACAGTGAAATAATCTGTCTTTTAGCTTTACCCAAAAGAAGGAAAAAATTGTTTTGAGAGATTTCAATTACAATGCGGAAGAATAATTACCCATCTAATTGCATATAGAAGATCTGATCACTTGCAAAATCCAATTAATTTGTTAATGGTGAAAATAATTGTCAATATCAATTCAATTGTAGGTTTCTTGGATGAATTCCTTACTTACCGACCCATAAATTGAAAATTTTCTCACTTTGATTTTCTTTCTTTCATAAATTTTTTTTTTAGGTGAATTCTTTACCCACCTAGAAATTGAAAATTTTTCTTACTCTCATGACTCGGGTTTGTTAACTGTCAAACAACCAAGTTATTTTTAAAGAAGTTGCCGAAACCAGCTTCGTAAACAACTAAACAATTAATTTTGCAGCACTGAACTGTTTGAAGTTAATTTGCAGAACATGACCTATATCCCTATATCATATTAAAAAGAAGAGACTATAAAAATAGAATTTTTGAACATTGTCGTGAATCCATCCATGATATAGAAAAATATATAAAAGCTGAACAACAATAGAAACAAGTATAAGAAAACCTTATTAATAAATTGTAAGTATTATTAAAGCAGCTACTGTTCCTTCCTAATAATAAATTCAAGAACATGGTCCTATCTAACTAATCTCTTCCTGGAATTCATAATTATAAATCATTAATTGCTAGCTACACACATTTGACATTCCTTGGGAGAAATGGGATTAGCATAAGTACAGCGATCGCAAAACCAGCACTCATCATCTATGTAAAATCGGGACCTGCTGGAACGATCACCAACTTCAGACAGACCATTCTCCAGTGCTTTAACCACCTTCTCAAAATTATTCCCAGTCACAGTAGTCATTGAACCACATTTTTCCGGTACTCAATGAAATCCTTTGATGCATTGTTATTATTCAGATACTGTTTCACCTCTTCCCCTACCAAATTATATATGAAGCTTTTCCAATCCAGATTCTGCTTCCCCTTGTAAGTACTCAAAAGAATCGTTTCTTTACTTTCTCTTCATCAGGCAAGGATATCCATATGCATAGCTCCACTCCAATATCCTCCTGCATTCAACTACTTGCTGCCAAGCTTTGGTTATAAAATCGAAACAGACATCAGACATGCCAAGATTATTACTGAGCTGCTTGTATTGGGTATTCTTCAGTTTTTGAAAATCAGCAACAGCTTTTATTTTCGACTTTCGATTAGCATCCCACCTTTCAAAATAATGTGTGTATTTATCTAAAGATTGCTTTGCCATCTTTCGCTTCTCTGCAGAATTGCTTGTATATGCATTGCAACAATGAATGTGGTTGATTTCAGTCAAGCATATCCATCAAAATTCATATCTGCAGACTCCACAAGTCATTTGCATACACCCTGCATTTTTTCCGATTGGTCTTTTGCAGCTTGGACAAGGCTTGCAGTATGCTACTATGTAAGTTACATTCTCAGATTCTGAACTGTTCTTTAAAATCCACTTCTTAACAGTCTCACAATCCAAAGGACGGTGACCTTCCTCTACACAGTTCCAGCAAAAACTAGTAAAACAATTACTACGAGTAACATCGAAGCTGCCATTTACCCTACGAATAAACTCAATTGCATGATCACAATTCGCGCCAGGGCACCGTTTTTTACTCTTACTTTCTTCAATGTAAGACTTAATCCACCACTGAGAATACTTATCCCTATCCTCTTTAGATGCAATTGAATCAATCATGTCTTTACACACCGCGACGCGACAGTATGGTTCAGGGCATCTTAGAGATAAAGAAGCTAACCATCATCATTAATAGATGTGCTAATATAATCAGTCCAGCATTGTTCACAATAAGGATGGCCACAACCAGCAGAGTAATTTCATTAGCAGAAAAATATTCAAAACAAATACCACAAGCATCTTCATCATGTTCCTTCAGTTTATTTTCTGGTTTGATTAACAAGCCACCTTTTCACGAATTGCAGACTCATTGACAAACCAGAGGTCATAAAGTTTAGTGACAGACCAATTGAAGTAGCGAAA